CTCCATCCACCAAAATGGGAAAGTCACTCAATCTATGCCATGATCTTTCTTGGTTCCACTCTTTCCTACCCTGATCCCTTAGTGTTTGACCTTGCAAGGCTGGCTTCTCACCAGAGACTACTCCGTCCTGTCATTCAGGCTGAGAGTGGCAACCCCACTTTAAAAGGAGCTCAATGGTTAAATTCAGCAAAATATTCATGAAATCCATTCTTCTGACCTCCGGTGTCCAGCACAGAACAATCCTTTAGGCTAAAATCTAGGCATATGCGTTCAAAAGAGGCAAAAAAAAAATCTACTTTTCAGCATGCAAATCCCTTACCTAATTATAAAAATATTTTCTGATACTTTGTACTAATTAAAAATAATGGTTCATACACATCAGGCATGAAATGCCTTTGAAAAATGAGGCTTCAGCATCACAACTTGAATGGCACAATTTAGGGCAGCATGTTTCATTGGGAACATATTAGTGATTGGTTGAAATAAGAATTGTTACCACTGAAATATTCAAACAACTCATGGTGTTCCACAGTGATTGGTGATGGGTCCCTTGGCAGCATTTATTTTCCATCCCTAATTGCCCAGAGGGCAGTTAGGAATCAACCACAGTGCTGTAGGTCAGACTGGGTAAAGATGGCAGTTTCCTTCCCTAAAGACATTAGTGAACCAGATGGGTTTTTCCAACACTCGACAACGGATCCATGGTCATCATTAGATTCTAAATTCCAGATATTTTTTAATTGAATTCAAATTCTACCATCTGCCATGGCAGGCTTCAAACCCACGTCCCCAGAACCTTATCTGGGTCTCTAGATTAACAGTCCAGCGATAATACCACTAGGCCATCACCTCCCCATTTGTTGGTCATTATATAAATGATTTGGATCTTTATCAAATGGGTCAATGGGCTGCAAAATGGTAGATGGAGTTCAATTTGGATAAATGCAAGGGCAGGACTTCTACAATTAATGGTAGGGCCTTGGATAGTGTTGTAGAACAGAGGAACCTGGGGGTTCATGTACATAATTCTTTGATGTTTGCAAAGACAGCATGTTTAAAAAGGCATTTAGCACACTTGCCTTCATTGCTCAGACCTTTGAGTATAGGAATTGGGAAGTCATGTTGAGGTTGTACAAGGCATTGGTGAGGTCTCTTCTGGAGTACTGTGTCCAGTTCTGGTTGCCATTTTATAGGACGGATATTATTAAGCGTGAGAGGGTTCAAAAGCAGGATGTTGCTGGGTGTGGAAGGTTTGAGTGAGAAAGAAGGGCAGGATAGACTGGGACTTTTCTCACTGGAGCACAGGAGTTTGAGAGATGACCTTAAAGAGGTTTATAAAATCATGAGGGGTATAGCTACAGTTAATGTGAAGTGTCTTTTCCCTAGGATGGGGGATTTCAAGACTAGGGGGCATATTTTTAAGGTGAGAGGAGACAGAGTTAAAAAAGACATGGGAGGCAAATGTTTTTTGTACAGAGGGTAGTTCACGTGTGGAATGAACTTCCTGAGGAAGTGGTGGATGTGGGCACAATTATAACATTTAAAAAGACATTTTTATAAGTACATGAATAGGAAAGGTTTGGAGGTAAATAGGCCAGGAGCAGACAGATGTGTCTAATTTAGTTTGGGATTATGTTCATCATGGACTGGTTGGACAAAAGGATCTGTTTCCATACTATATGTCTATGAACAAAAATCAAAAACTGTTTACTTGACAGATTCTTGGGATGAAGGGGTTATCTTATGGGGAAAGGTTGGGCCTGTATCCATTGGAATTTAGAAGAAGTGTTTTTATAAAAAGCTACAAAATCCTGAGAGGACTTCACAGAGTGGATGCTGAGAGACTAACACAGTGTTCCCCCTTTCAAGATGGAGTTTTTTTTTATTTTTCTGAGATTTGAGCCCTTCCCCACACCCTAGTGTAGGCAGGGTCAGGGAATATTTTGAAGGCAGAAGATAAGATTGGCTAATATGGGAGTCAAGGAATTTGGGGATTAAGTAAGAAAGCAGAGTTGACTTGAAGCCACAAATCAGCCGAGATATTCTAGAAAGAGAGAGAATGAGAATGTGTGTGTATATATTTATATATATAAGGCGGGTGGCCAGGAGGGGGTGCAAAGTGTGGATCTGAAGGGACCGAATTACCAAGACTGTAACCTCTTATTTTATATATGTTCTTATTTGTTTGCACTATTGGTGAATAAGCAAGACAAGTAATTCAAATAAAGTTAAGCCATCATCAAGCCTTCTTTGCAATTTGACTTACACCAATAAACACAAATAAAATTCACCAACTTGGAGTATTTATACTTATTCAAAATCATTTCTGCAGTGATACAAATCTTTGAAAATGTTTTGAAGTTAATCCTACATCGCTATCTCTTGCAAATTTTGCTTCTGGGCTAATCATCTTTTTTGATTTCAGAGTCTTACTAGAGCTCCCTGGACTTCCAGGTTTAGAAGGAAAATATCAAAGTGTGGTAATTAAAGTTAACAGATGAGGGTGAGATGATGGTGTAGAGGCAATTTCATTGAACTGGTGATCCTGAGGCCCAGGTTAAAGCTAGAGTGATACTGGTTCAAATCACACCATAGTACTTGGGAGAAATTAAATTCAGTACTTACATTCAATTCATGTAGCTCCATAAATAGTCATTGGAATGCACCTGGTTCATTAATATCCGAGGGAACAAATCTGGTATCCTTACCTGGTGTGGCCAACACTTAACTCCAGACACACAGTAATACGGTTGACTCTTAATTAGAGATGTATAACCACATGCTAGAATTTCAAGACACCCACATCTTGTGAAAGAATTTTTTTTTAAAAATTATGATGGCTATTACTTTGCTCCTGCTTTCTGACAAAATAGAGACCCAGGACCAAGACTTGAGTTGATAGGAGATGACAAAACAAAAATAAAAGGGGAAAAAACAAAAGTAAAAACAGAAATGCAGGTAAATGTTCATCCGATCAGGCAGCCTCTGTGGACAGATGAGCAAATTTAACATTTAAAGGTTGATAGCCTAGATATTTTCTAATTAATCTGTTCAGAGACATTATTACACAGGTCTGGAGCAGGTGGGACTTCAACATGGGTCATTTGGCTCAGAGGTAGGGGCATTGCCATTGTACCACAAGAGCATGTAAGGTGAATAGCCTATCATCAGAATTATTTATTCAACAAATAACCGTTTGGTAGCACAAACTTGAGCACTGATATAAGAAAACTAATCTAAGGGGACAACCAATATTTACACGAGATGAAAGAAAGAGAATGCTGATCGATTGGCAAGTGAACTCTTATTGGGAGAAGCGTTGCCAGGAAGGATTTTTTTTGAAAAATGTTTCATGGGATGTGGGTCTCGCTGGCTAAGGCAGCCCTCTCTCATTGACCGAACAGCAATTAAGAATCAAACAAATTACTACCAGCCTGCAGCCATGTGTAGGCTGGAATAGATAAGGATAGATTTCCTTGGCTCAAATGACATTAGGATACAGTTAATGATTGACAGTTAACTGCGAGACTTCGGTTTAAATTTTAAACCAGGCAGGTTGCCTCCGATTGATCAAATCATTGCCTGAACAAACAAACCAGTGAATGGCTGTCACCTATTTCATTGAGTTAAAGCAGTCACAAAGAATATGTCTACTCAATTTGCTTGCAAAAAAAAAATCCCTCTGTATTAAAATATGTAGCTTCCAGTACGTTTCGGGCCACCACACAATGAGACCGACTGACATTCCTAAATTGGCTGTCAGTGTAATTACTTACACACTTAGGATTATCCAGCGAATGCGGTCCAATTGTGAATCACAGCTAATGTTGGACACCATGTTGCCCATTTAACAAGCAGGAGCCAAGTGGATATGGTTAATATCTTTCTTGCTGCAAAGTGAAAGGGGAGGTGAGCTATTTGATATGGTCTGCAAGTCTTTGGCTTGGCCACATACTGGTGTTAAAAGATAAATTTAACAGCAATGAACACAATAGTGGCCTCAGTCATTTGCCACAATTATTCACTTATTCTGTGCCACAGACATCTGACAGTCAATTAATTTAATTTGCATAATTATAGTTTATCAGTGAAATTAAGACCACGACCACTCAAACACTTGCTGCACTGCTCTGCACCTTTCCAGTTCAAATCAGCACATCCAAAAAAAGTCAAAGCCAACACTGACATTCTCCTGTAGCTTTCAGCCAAGACTATAACAGTGTGTTTTGTGCAATGCATTACCACACAGCAGAAGACCAAAATCAGTCAATTTAGGGAACAGATAGTAGCTGGACATGCTGAACTGATCAACTACGGTGGGAACAATATTTTCCTTTTATCACACTATATTGTTCGGTGTAGAATTGTTAAACAAAATGTTGTAATTTTCTACATTTCTCTGGATAAATACATCCTACATTTACAAGAACATTTTTTTCATAGCATCCCTACAGTGTGGAAACAGGCCCTTCAGCCCAACAAGTCCACACCGATCCTCAGAGCATCCCACCCAGACTCATCCCCCTATAACCCACCTAATCTACACATTCCTGAACACTATGGACAATCTAGCATGGCCAATCCACCTGGCTTGCACATCTTTGGACTGTTGGAGGAAACCAGAGCACCTGGAGGAAACCCACACAGACACGGGGAGAATGTGCAATCTCCACACAGACAGTCGCCCGAGGGTGGAATCGAACCCGGGTCCCTGGCGCTGTGAGACAACAGTGCTAACCACTGAGCCACAGAACCAAATCTGACCACATTAAAACTGGTAAATGAAATGACAGCATTTGGCTTGATTGCAATGTGTAATGTAACTATCATATGAAAATGTTACCAATAATCCAGTGAAAGATATCATTCTTATTAACTCTCAATTGGACGTCTACAACTTGCCTGTATTAACAATGAATAATCTTATAATACTTAAATTCTTTAAAAGAAGATTTAGGCATGTTTGCAAGATACTATAAAAACATAGAAAGACATTATACTCAAAAGGCAAAATACTTGGTATATTTGTATCCATAGCAGGTCAGGCAACATTTGTTGAAAATTGGAACTGACAGGACAGCACTTTAGTGAGGACTTGTGATTGGAAATGATTTCAAATACAGGATTATATCATTACATAGTACAGTTCCCTACAAGTCCTTTGAAAACATATTAACACATTTAAATAATAAGGAAAATACTACGGTTGACTTAGAGATAAGAGGCTTAAAATAATGGAAGAAAGAATTTTGGCAGGACATCATCCACGTTTGTAAATATAAATGTAACCAGACAACTATAACACAAATATAAAATGCAAAACCAGAAAACTCCAAGTGAGATTAAAAATTAGAAAGGAGTTTCTCCTTTCCATCTATCAAGGTATGCAGAATGTGTGAATTTTAAAAAAACAGCTGCATGAACATTTGTTTAGGAATGAGACTGAAGGTTACAGAGATAAGCAAAGAAAAAGATAATCAAAGTGAATACAATGAATTCTGTGCTACAGTCACAATGGAAGGATTATCCACAGAAAGCAAACACTGATATTTGAATAATGCAGAACATTTCCTCAGGACATTAAACAAGCAGGTTAGAGGCTCTGATGGGATAAATTGGTTACACAGTCAAAGGCAGGCAAGCTGGAGCAAATGGCATTTTAAAGTTCCATGATTTATTATGATGGTACTAAATTAGAGAATAGGCATCACAAAGACACTTATTTAGAATTCTATGGGAAACTAATGAATTGCACAGATGCGAAGATGTGTCAAAATGCAGTCCCAGATGCTTAAAGCCTGTGCATTTGTTAACAATGGCACTGCAATAATGCAATGTTAGTGTTTAACACACATTGATACTAATCATGCAGGACTCTTAATTCCATAATCAGTTCACCAAAAAACAAAGGCAAAAATAAGTTGCCATCTACTTCCATTTTACAGGTATTAATACAGTACATTTATATGGCAATAGATTTCTGAAGTGTGTCATTTTCAAAAAAATAATCTATTCATTTCTCTGATGCATGGCCCTGATCTGCTACTACATTTGTTGGTCAAGATTTCAATTGTGTAATCCTGGCTGCATTCTCTAAACTTCCGAGAGATAATTAACTATAAATCATAAAATTGACATGGCCAAGTTTGGTGCTCATCCCAAAGCTTTGGTATCCTCCCTGTTACATGGTTATCTTTATTTCCATTCTCTTTTAAAAGCCATTTTCTCACCATTATCATTGCCAGACATTTTGGAACTGGGTTTAAGTTGCCTATCAGCAGGACATACTCAATTGGTACACTTGTGGAGAAGCATCAAATCACTGCCCATCACACAATAAATCCTGATAGCTGTTCAGATGAGGACTACAGTTCCTCTAGTGGTCTAGGCAGCAGAACTGTTGCTTTAGGAATCTAATGGTGTTTCAGATATCTCACTGTATCATAGCTCTTGTATGGCTGCTGAACACGTGGAAACTGTGGACTGGAACCATAAGCCATGTAGTCAGCAGACAGCCGTTCTTGCCCACCTCTGTCAGTCTTTTTGGTCTTTCCATCCAAACTTTTCCTAGTTCACTCAGTATATTTTAGCATACATTTGCACAAATTGCTTTGGAGGTGATTTTGTGCGTTAATGGTACCATGTAAAGTGTAACATTACAAAGATAGTATTGTATCTACAAGAGGGAGCAAAAGCAAATTACTAATTTCTGTCTGACCAAAAAATTACACTCAATACTCAAACAATTAGATTTGTTTTGCTTTTTAAAAATGAAGTATAGCTTTAAGACAGGACAGCACCCAAACTCTTGTCCTTCTAAAGCATCACCCCATACTACTTGCAAACAGAAACATTCTTGAGACAGATCTTCAAATTAGATATGTGGAACAAAATATTTCTACATAACTTTGACAGTGGAACCTAGATAATAAGATCCTTTATAATTGTTGTACATGAATTTCTGAAATTCATTTCTAGACACAAAGTTTAAGAAATTTTCATTTTAGACCACAGCCCCATTTTTAAAAATTTTAAGTTGCCCCTCCACATTTATATGCTAAAAGCAGCATCATTCCACAGGATACATGTCAACAGTGGACAGCCAGAAATTTATTTTGCAATTAATTGAACAGCCCACCAGCCCCAATACTATAATGGAGACTTTGCTATGAGACTTTTTTTTTTCCCCAGTTTGATCAACCTAACGAACTCAATTTACAAAAGGGTAACGAACTGAGAAAGTTCATAATTTGTTTTAATCATTATTGTCAGTGACATAAAAATTGTATTAGAGATATTTTACATTTCTATACAAAAGGAGAGGAAAAACCCACTGATAAAGTGGAGCACCATGTGGTGATAAGAAACTGGTTCAGATTTCTGTTGCACTACAAGAGTTCCCAAACTCACATTGTAAGAAGAAGGTGCTCATCACTTCATACCATCTTACAAGAAATGAACAGAAGTACACTCAATATTAATTGTCATTTGTATTCATGGGCAATACTGGAACCAGGATGAATAAGAAAGAAATTCAAAAGTAAAAGCAAAAAAAACTATCAAGTTTTCAATCACCGATACAGTCTGTTAAATTTATCAACTGAAGAATTAATAGTTTTGAAATTGAGTGAAGACAGAACGTTCTTGCTGATAAATTTAGATTGCATAGGTTTAAGAAAAAAGCTACTGCCTTTATCAGATGAAGACCAACACTTCTTTGCTGTTTAAAGACAGTCTGTAGGTTCATGATTGAGCACCTTTCTTCCTTCTCCTACATCTCCAGAAAAATAGCTCTTGAATGCACAAAAGGAACAATTATTGTAGAATTCTGTGGCTACAGTATATATCACTGACATTGGAAAAGTTTAAGACAGACTTGGGTTTATGTAAGTCTTATTCCCGTTCTAGGGACATTTCAGAGAACTTATTACAATGTAGCAAAGTGGCATTACAGCAAGCTGAATAACTGGATATTTTGTTTAATGGTGCTGATTGAGGGATAAATACTTGCCACGATAAAAGGTGACAATTTGCCCCTTCAAAATACTATAGCACAGTTTACATTCACCGAAACAAAAGGGACCTTAGTTCAATGTCTCATCCAAATGGTGACAACTCCAATACTGCAGCAGTCCCTCAGCAATGTACTAGTGTCAATCCTAAAGTTTTGTACTTAAGTGCTTAGAGTCACACTTGAACTCAATCTCCAATCCAGGTGAATATGTCATCAATAAGCCATGGTAGACATTAGTATGACAGAAGCTAGGAAACATTAGAACTGTGTTTAACATGAACTAAGAAAATCAAACCTTGAAAATATTTTTTTAATCTAAAACTGTCAGCAAAACATTTACTCAGTAGAAATCGGTTTTGCTTCAGTAACTGGAAAAAAAAGCCAGCATAATAACTATGAACTTTGTAGGTGGGATTATTGTATGTTGGTAAGGCCTATATATTGTGTTGCCATCACTGTCAATAGGCAATATTTTTGATTACTTCTGAAGCTGAATTTTATTACAAGAATGCAGTGCACTAGCTGGTGAGGGAGGTGAAGCTCTACAGCTACCATTCAAAATTGTTGTGTGTTCATCAGGGCCCACATATAATAACTGGATATGGTGTGCACACTGAGCATCTGCACAAAAAAAAGGGCACATTAGACCACTCCTGAAACACTGGACCCAGTAGACTGGGTTTACAGAAAGAAACGAATGAGATAATTAAAATGCAGTTTCTCTACAATCATATTTATGATTAGAATTTTGCTCAACCTTTTCATAAAGAGTGACCAATTCAGTTTTTTATTATTTACATTCTACATAAATATCAAATACATCTTCAGGATGTCCAGCTTGTACAGGAGTTTCAATGCGGAAGGCAGACTAGATATGCATCTAGTTGATGGTTCTGATAGCAAGCAACACTGTCCAAAATCCATTCTCTGGTGACTACAAAGTTGTTGTACTGTCTCTGGATTGCTGTAACAATTTAGAACATTATGCATTCTTAGAATTAACTTCGTAATAGCTTTCAACATAAACATTAAACCATTTAGAAAGATCTCAAATCAACATTAAGTATTTCTTTCATCAATGTCAAATCTTTAGCTGTCCTGAAACAGACAAATGATTCTGAAATAGAACCACCTCTGGCCTAGAACATAAAACTAGCCCCCAACAAAGTATGGATGAAAATGTGAGTAGAAATTAATTCAGCTCAGACTGTTGAAGCCCTTTGCTCCAGCAACATTCTAATGAGGCCAGTCAAAACCAGGGTTTAGAAAAAGTATGAAGATTGCTATAATAGATACAAGTTATTTTCAAGACTCTTCATTTGGTTTGAAGATTCTGCAAATTACTACAGTGCAAACAGCTTTTAAACTGGTCCTGCATTTTTAGTCCCTATCCATTTAACATTCAATTCTCTTCCACTCACCCCAACGTCTTACCTTTAAAGTGTAAAGCCAAAGTAAAGTTCTTGGGCTTATAAATAGGTAATTAAACCTTCAACATCTCAAACACAGGTGGCTTTAAGCATTGTTCAGTTGCTACAAATGATAGAAGAAAAAAATAATAAAGGGCTCTATTGGGTCCTGTTTAAAAAAAATGAAGTAGACCCATAGAGCCTGCTTAAAAAGGATGAGGGGATTTCTGAGCTTCTTGTGGCACAGTGGTAATGTTCCTACTCCTGGAATGGGGAGCCCAGGTTCAAATCCCACCTGCTCCAAAAGGTGTGTAATAACATCTCTTAATAGGTTGATTATGGAAAAATAGATGAAATTAAAAATACAAATGAGTTACCAGTAAAAAGAAAACAAAGGCACTATTGGGTCCTATTTAAAAAAATTAACAAATGAAGCAGATCCATTGGACCTTCTTTTAAAAAAAAAGGATTTTTGGACCCTCTTGTGATGCAGAGGTAGTGTCTCCTGGACCAGGAAGCCAGAATTCAAGTTACCCCTGTTCCAGAGGTGTGTAATACCATCTCTGAACAGAAAAAAAGACGACAGAGAAGTTGAAAACCAGAAGAAACATGGATGCAATAAATCAGGAACAAAATCAAAAGTTGCTGGAAAAGTTCAGCAGGTGTGGCAGTATCTGTGAAGAAAAACCAGAGTTAACATTTTGGGTCCAGTGCCCCTTCCTCAGAACTGATGGTAGCTAGGAAAATGTCGGCTTACACGCAGAAGTTAGGGTGGGAGGAGGGTGTAACATAAACAATAGGTGGGGTAGAGCCCAAAGAGAGAAAAGAACAGTTCGATTGACAAAGGAGTTGATAATAGTCTAGCTAGGAGGGTGAACAGCTATTTATGGGGACTGTTAGTGACTAACAGATAGTGTGTAATGGCAGACTGAGATAACAAGGCCTGGTGCGGGGGGTTGGGGGCCAGGACATGGGAGAATTTAGACCCCAAAATGATTGAACTTGATATTGATTTCGGATGGCTGCACGGTCCCCAAGTGGAAAATGAGGTGTTGTTTTTCCAGCTTGTGCTAAACTTTGCTGGAACACTGCAGCAAGCCTGAGACAGAGATGCTGGCCAGGGAACAGGGTGGCATGTTAAAAGTGGCAGGAAACTGGAAGCTCAGGGTCTTTTTTGCGGAAAGAGTGTAGGTGATCTGCGAAGCGGTCACCGAGTCTACGCTTAGTTTGCCAAATGTAGAGGAGACCACATTGTGAGCGGTGAATGCAGTAGAGTAGATTGTGAGAAGTGCAGGTAAAGTGCTGCTTCACCTGGGAGGTATGTTTGGGCTTCTGGACACTGGGGAGGGAGGAGGTAAATGGGCAGGTATTACACCTTTGGCAGGTGCAGCGGAAGGTGTTGTGGGACTGTGGGGGGTAGTTGGGAGTGAAGGAAAAGTGGACCAGGGTGTCCAAGAGGAAACGGTCCCTGAGGAAGGCAGACAAGGGAGGGGAGGGGAATACGTGTCAGGAGGTGGCAGAAATGGTGTCAGATGATCTTCTGGATGTGAATATTAGTGGGTTGGTAGGTAAGGGCAAGAGGAAACCTATCACTGTTGTGGGAGGGAAGATGGGAGTGAGGGCCAAAGTGCACAAGATGGGTCAGACCCAGTTGAGGGCCTTGACAACAGTGCTGGGGAATCCATGGTTGAGGAAGAAGATGGACATTTCAGAGGATGCCTTGTTGAAGTTGGCCTCATCTGAACACATGCAATGGAGACAGAGGAACTGAGGAGAATGGGATGGTCTCTTTTCAAGAAGCAGGGTGTGGAGATATAGTCCAGATAGCTGTGGGAGTTGGTAGGTTTATAGTGGATATTAGCAGCCAGTCTGTTTCCAAAAATGAAAACAGAGATGTTGAGGAAAGAAAGAGAGGAGTCAGAGATAGACCAGGTGAAAGTGAGGGCAGGGTGGAAATCAGAAGCAAAATTGATGAACCTTTCCAATTCCAAATGAGAAGGGGAAGCAGCATCGATATATCAGAGAAAGAGCTGTGAGAGGGGGCCAGAATAGGACGAGAACAAGGAATGGTGATTAATAGTTAAAAGCAAAGAAAAACACTGATTTAGTGGTGGGAAAGTTGTCCATTTGCGTGTAATAACACTTGCAGATATATTTTAAAAAAACAAAAATTAGCATTCACTGTTTTCCAGCATTCACAAATAGTTGTCATAGGGATAGATTAGCTCTAAACAACATTTCTTTAAATATTTATCCAATGTAAAATTTTATGTCGATATAATACAAGTAGCTGATCGTTTTACTGAAGTACAGTAATCTGTACAGCAATGATGGAGATTTAACTTTAAACTCACCTCTATAATCAGTGTTTTCTGGATTAGCATCAGGTTGCACAATCACCACTGCAGTACGATTCTAGGAGATCCATAAGTGAAAATTACATAAGGTTATACTAGAAGTTTCCTCATTCTTTCACGAGAACTCATGTCTTCCACTTATTCCATGAACAGTAAGAAAATACTTTGTTCAAAAAACGCAGTAAAGATTTTCTCTTATTTATTCAGGGATGTTAGCTTCACTGGCTGGGTCAGCATTTATTGGTCATCCCTAACTGCCCTTGAGAAGGGAGTGCTAAAATACCTTTTTGAACCACTGCAGTCCTTTTGGTATCAGTAGACCAATAATATTAGCACGTGCTATGATCTTAAAGTAGCTACAGTGAAGGAACGGCAGTATACTTCCAAGTCAGGATGATGTGTGGTTTGATATAGCATTTACTTTGGGAAATGGCACCATCTGCATCTGCATCTGCAGCTCTTGTCCTTCCAAGTGGTGATCGTGGGTTTTGAAGGTGCTCTTGATAGAGCCTTGCTGAATTTCTGCAGTGCATCTTGCAGATGGTAGTCACTGCTGCTATTGAGTTTTTCCAGAATAGAAGAAGATTTTAGCATTCATACTGTATTACATCAATACGATACTTTCTTTACATATTTTGCATTTCCCATAGATTTTAACAGGCCAATACTACAAAATGTAAAGGTTGCTCAGGTCACAATTTGAACAACACAAGACTGATAAGGATCTTTTGGAGAATGATTGCCAATGGAACAAATGTGGAGGATGCAGAGATCATGGTTGAGTAACATACCAAAGTTCTGCATCTTTAGGTTTAGCCTGATATGACACGTCACAGAAGCTGACTGCAATGCAAAGTTGAGTCAGGAAAGCTTTACTGACGGTGACACTGCGCTAGAGGAGATTTCAGTTCGGAAATCTTGAATACAGATAGGCAGATGAAGAAAGTGCCAAGAGCCTTGAGGGAATTTAAAAGGCATCATTGCTTAACTGCTCAATTTACTCCCTAAATCATTAGGCAGTCATAATGTACTATTTAATAATACAGAATTTTAATTTCGCTCCATTAAGACAAATCTAATTTTTTTATTTTACGGGTTTATGACCTTTAGACATATTATCCTCTACTTACAGGACTGTAGGTGAATAAATAAGGTTCCTTAATTATTGAGGCACCACAGAGCTCTACCATCCACTCTAGCTGATCTGAAAGATAGAGCAATATTCATTTATGACAGGTTTCAGACCTACATTTCACACTAATAGCAAGGCTGGATTTAGAAAAAAACTTCCAGCACAATTGAAAATTGATTTGTTAAGCTTCAATTCCCAAATTTAGTTGAGCAGAAAACAAGGCAATTGAGAAAAACGTATGCAGTGTATCTGACCTTATGTAGCCTTTGTACAATGCCATTAATCCTCATCCCCATAAAACATAACCATCTATAATCCACATTACAATCGAATAATTATAGTCTAACTTTCCACTGTGGTCTTATAAAATATGATATTGAAAGCTGCTTGGAAATATTTGGATTACAAACATATTCCTGGAGCAAAGTTTTACAGTTAGATTACATTCCCAGAAACTCTGCATTTGTTGAATTCAATTTCTGTCTGGTAATTTTAATGGACAAAAAAGACAAAAATCAGGAGCTACGCACAAATGATTTTCCAACAATAACTGCCCAAAGGGAAGCTTTATACCATGAACATTAAAGCTTAATATTAATGTTTTATATTTTCATGGAAGAATGATCATTTTAAAATACAGCAATAATTTATTTTAATTTAGAAGAGGATTTTTAAGAGACACTCAATGCAGTAAAATATTATAACTCAAAATTTACTGCATTAAAGGAAGTCCTTGAAAGCAATACACCTGGGATAATGCTGCCTCTAAATTATTTAATCTAATTTCTCTTTTTCCTTTTCAAGTTCTTCCTTTTCAAATACTTAGTAACTTCCGTTCCAGAAATGCTAGTATCAATCTCAATAGTCACATGTAATTTTCTAAGCAACTGCTATGTCAAATTGCCTAATTTTCACCTGGATTCTTTAGCAGTATTCTTGAATCCTTGCCTATCTTTCAGTTGAAGTAAAGCTGTCGCTTTTTCTGAAACAAAATCCCAATAACTTCTATAAGCTTTGAAAATTTCCACTAGATCTCCTTTTAACTTTCTCTGTTTGAATAAAGTAGTTCATTCTCATTTAAAAGCTACAACTTCTTACTTAGGCTCTGGTGAACCATTATTATACCCATTTCTATGGTTCTATTATACAACGCAGAAATGAATATGAAAATCTCTTGGGTTGATGAACAGCACTATGCTATGTTTATTACACAATATTTTCTGATGTTTGGGAGGCTAGTATGGAAAAGCCACATCAAATCTGAGCAATTCAAATCCAATATTATTAGTATGTGTCCATGCATTATGATTGTTCAGACCTGCACTCAAATTCGACTTACAGCAGAAAAGCAGCTTCCATATACAGACATCTTTTATGCACTGAAACTTGTAACCATAGTTATATGAATGGAATAAGAGGCTTTAAGATCAAGAGTAATGTGTCTATTAGTGTTTAAAACCACTTTTCCCTACCCAGAACTGCAAACAGGTAGTCAAAACAGGAACTGAAGACCACTAGCTCAAACAATTCTGAAACATTTCAAAGACTGAAGATTCCATTTTGGGTATTAAAAAAGATCTCTCAGTAGAAGAGGATGACAGCTAAGCTAACTGGACGATGAAGCAGCCAAATCTGGCAGGTAAAAGTCATTACCGAGGGTTTCAGTAGTCTTGAGCTGAGAAATGATAAAGTTATCACTGTGAACCTAGAGGGGATCAGATATTCAGCTTGAGATTGAATCAGCTAAGAAGGCTGAAAATGGAACCATTCAGACTGCAAGAGTGGGCAAGGAGAGAAAGAACGTCAGTGGCAAGCAGGTGACGAGGTCAAAGATAACAATGTTGTAAATGTTGGTCCCTTTAAGAAATCATCATGGCATGCTCCAGAGATAACAGCATATTGGAGCAAATAAACAGGGGCTGGTTTTTCCCAGTCAGGGGACTTGGTCATGTCAAAGAGGGAGTATACTTGAGTTTTTAAAATCGAATTATGAAGTGCAAAGAAGCAGCTGTGGAAGACAGACTGGCTCATGCTTTGGTAAAAGGATGAGCACTTCAGCAGAAGACGAGTTCAGTTTTACTGTTTAGCTTGAGGACATTGCAGTTCATCCAAGAATAGATTATGGCTGACCAGTCTGACTCTGAGATAATGAAGTCAATAGGTACTTGTGATTATTGTTGTGGATACATATCCCAGGAGGATATCCATAAGGCAACATGCACAGGGGAGGACAAAGATAGAATGTTAAGCGATTCTAAATGGAACAAGAAAATCCTAACAAAAGAGTCCCTAGTATATAGCAAGTCAAAACAATTATAATCCTAGATACCTGCTACTTGAAAGCCTTTCTATACTTGTTAAGGAACAGAACCATATGCAAGGAAATAAAAATCTTCAATTATACTGAAATTAGTAAGTTACTGTTAAAAATAAAATGGTTGCCGTGCACCGATGAAATCTCAAGAAAACGTGTCCATCTGTAACTAACACAGAAACTGAAGGAAGCATATTAATTTATTAGAACATCCTGAAACGTGTTTATATACACTAATGAACCATTATTAACCCTGCTTTCACTCTTTCAAGTATTTAATGATGCACCCAAGAAGCCTCAGATTACCAATCATGTGTGTGTGGTCTCCACACAACAGTAGTTTATCTTCCTTTGTAGAAAGTGTTAAAGCATGTTGGAACTAGACTAGCATACACAGGAGATTTCTGCCCATCACACAGCATGCTTTAGAAGTTTCAATGGGAATTTGCAAAATGACCCATGATGGCTCAGTAATAACTGCACTCCAGTCATCAAACAACAAAGAGCTCAAATATTCCTAAGTCCATTGCACAAGGTTAAACACGCTCTAAACCAGTAAGCATGTACCATACTGCACTCTGAAATTCCCACTGTGCCCAACTAGCATTGAGGACATTTGAAAGTGAAAAAGTGACACACAATAGAGGTCTTCCTAAGGTCACTAACTGTAAATCATCCTTGGACATAGCATATTTTAGCTAAACATTTGCATGATCAACATCTTAGAGATACAGCCCTCACAATTACTAGAGTAAGCAAATATATGCATTAAACTGCTTTCTTAAAAAACTGTGAAGTAGAATGGTATAAAATTGGTAAGGGAAACATCAGAGGCATCACTTCAGCAAATCCCTTATATTTTGACAGCCTGATGTTATTTATGAAATAATAGACAACTAAAGAAACCCTAAATACAGAAAGTGGACAATTTAAGCATTTGCAGTCATGAGTCAGAAAGGTCCTTGACATCAATGAAAATAGTAGCTAAATGTTTTATTGACATTTTAACAACTCAGTGGTTTCAGGCTTGATTCTAGCAAAGAACTTTGTAATTTTATAGTTATACACATACACCAGTATATATATATTCACCAAATTTTCTGGTGATCAACTGCAAATTACCATTTATGGTAGGACATTGTATCCATTAACTCTGCTGTGTGCTGCATCAACATAGAGTGCATTAGCAGCTGGTGTTGAAACTGGCAGCTAATACCAGAACTGCCGAATTAATCTCATTTGCATTGTTTCACTGACAGGTACATCCATCATTTAGTATCAATGATTTCCTCAATTACAATATCTGCCCAACATTCTCTAGAAACACGATGAAAATTTAAGATGTACTGACTTGGTTGACAGTATAGCCTACTGACAGGTAGCACCCGCAACAGAGGATAGCCACACTTCAGGGAGACAATAGATGTTCTTGTGGTATAGCATGGTTCACATTGGTCAGTGGAAAAATAGTAGGAAAGCCATCGTGCAGTTAGTCAAAGACAGATTAAAACAAAGCCTAGAAGCAGCTTTTCCTATGTCTCTTAGTCATGCTTGGTGAATGATTTACCCAATTACCAGAAAACTAGTAAATGGATTCCATCAACACCTCCACTTGTGAGCAAATGCTCAATTTCTAGCCAACATGTCAGGATTGGGAAAGAAAATCACTTTCTGTATTTGGCATCTAATGGCAAATGGAATTATCTAAAAGTAAAGTAAAGCTCCCACCACTATCGCTTACTGGCATAGGCTGTTTCCCTTATTAGTGCAGAATTTGAGGACAAGAATTTAAGAGCAGTTCGATGGACCTACAACACTGCAGAAACTATACTTCATACTTGTTCCGCTTCCAAATTAAACAAGGCATCAGAATTGCTAACAAAAGATACAATTGCTTACTTTGATTAGGCAAACATTAAGTGTTATTTCTTCCGCTTGCCCCCAAGCTTTCACAGCTATTTAGCTGCTGTCTTTACTTAAAAGGTTTGAAAGCACTTCAGAAGTTTGAGATCTGATTAAATTTACTAATGCAGGCAGGATTTAAGAATCACTATTTGTTAATTCCTTTAAATATATATGCAGTTTTCATGAACAGTAAAACAATAAAAATAAAATGGTGGACTCAGCAATGTTAGGACCTGAATAAAGACAGTTAAAACAACTTTAAATCACAAGTCAAAGTTGTAAAAAAGAACTATTCCATGTCAAATCACTGGACACCTTCATCATAGAATGAACTATGAAAAGTTACTCTACTAGTCCCTGTACCATTTAGGCATTTAAAACAAAATGACCTTAAAATGGATGGAAGCATAAGATCAGAAGCTTACTTCAATAAAGATATCGCTATAGGTATTTAATCACACAAAATGGCAAACATATTTAACGTATGAATATACCCAAGTGTACTTAGGTCAGTCTGTAGCCCTTGTGCTTCACCCTTATAATTCAATGCACTGTTTTTAAAAAAATTAGGAACGCTTATGTGAAACCAAGATCATCTAAATGTTCAAGTGGCATGATACAAAGAGGAGCAGGGATATCTCCCAATACCATGGTTATCCAGCACGACCTGAAATGAATACTTCAAAATTTCATTTCTAATTGTGAGATCTTTTGCGTGTAAGCCATTTTGTTGTGATTGCCTACATAAGATTGCTGAACAGCAATTCACAAGCACTTCACGAATATGGCTTTCTTCTCCAATAAATCCATATGTATGCTCAGATTACATTATGACAGCACAGACCAGATGGGTTGAATGGTCTGTTTTGAACTGCACATTCTGGGCCAATGAAGAAACAACAAAAACAAACTAACAAAATTATTGGTGAATGTAACAGATTCTGTCATGGAATTCAAAAAGTTCAGCTTCAACATTTACTGAGATGACTTGTCCTACAAATAGAAGTAAACTTTGGTGAAAAATTTTAGGCTAGCATGCATGTTATAGTTGTATAGCACAGAGGGGAGAATAAATGAGACAAGCATCAATAGCTGATTCTATGACCGGACTTCAGTGGAAAATTTGTTCCACCTCATTTCACTTGGGAAGTACCCGGAAATGTAAACTATAAGGAGTATAAGCATTTTGTTTGGGACAATTGTGTAACAATTTATTTTCCATTGACATTCCAGACTGCTTAAGGGTAATTGTGGTTACCATGGTTACAGCTGGCACTTAGTGATGATGAAATCAGATGCACAGCTGTTTTGATTTATTTTTAAAAATGCTGGTGGCTTGCGGGTAAGTTCATGTAGATGAAGTCCTGTATTCAAAGGCAGGTGAGAGGATTCTCTTCTGGGCAATAATTCTACATCCAAGAAAATGGGTGCTTCATTTTCTTTGGTCCTGGTGAACACCACCCCACTCCTCAGGTTTTTCTGATCTAGACACAAGCTCAAGCCAAATAGGTGTACAGACAACCTGTCCCCATTACTTTGTCAAAAATGCTCTGTGAACAGCTGCTACAAAAGGGGAGAAAAGGCACAGTAAACTCTTACCACCATTCCCCCTTAGTCTGTAAGATCTCTGCTTGGTGCCACTACACAACGCGTAGTCAAGGTAATAGAACTAAAGGAATGGATGTTCTCGGCATTAACCAGTGTTCTAACACTCTGCAACTTTACACACTAGAATGGATGTGTGCAACAGAAGCATAACAGATTCCCAATTCCTCCTCCCTCAATTTCACCTCACATAGTGGACATGGGACAAAGGCAGAACTGGCTTTAAACTGCCAAATAGGCTTTTGGCACAAGTTCTGGAACATGAAGAATTTGAAAAGGTATGCGAGGAGGAATTTAAAAAAAAAACTTAAGGTTTCTATAACCCAACAAGCAGCAAATATCTACAAGAAAAGGGAGGGAGGGTAGAAAACATGCTATTTAAAAGGAAATACCAGATAAAATGGCCAGAAGGCTTTAATTATTGATAGCACATGTATACATTTAATTTGTACTTCAAGTTTAGAAGGTTTTGGGATGATCTGATCCAATCCAAGATACATAAAATGATAAGAGATTCAAATGTGTAGCTACAGAGAAACTATTCCCTCTAGTGGGGATATCAGGAACAGAGTTCGAACCTTAAAATCAGCATTGAAGGCATTTAGCAGTGAAAGCATTTTGTTTTATAATGGTAATGAGGAACACTTTTCCGACTGGCAGTCCAAGTCAGGAAAACTGCAGTTTTCAAGACCAAAATTGATGGATGATTGTTCTTAGGTAAAGATCAAAAGATATGCAGTCAAGGCAACTATATTGAGTTTAGACTCATTTCAGCCATTTTCTAATGGAGAATCAATACCTGCACTTGTGCAATGGTTATCATAGTGCAGAAAATTTTGAGCTTTATTAAAAGTAAAATTATGCTGGAAGAAAACACACTTTTATCCACAGAACATTATTGGCATATATAAATGGTTGTATCTTGGTTATGCCAGTGAATACTTGATTAATCCATCTGAGGGTTCACAATTGCTGAAATTATGCACCAAAAAAATACAAAGGCCAACCACATCAGCATACACTAATGCCAACTTGGTCACCTGCAACCCACTATACAAGGCTTACTCCCTATTTTTCTATTAGATATGCTGAACCATAAAACTAATACACTATGCAAATCATCTCTCACCATGCAATTAAAGCATCAGTAAAACACCCAATTTTTCTTGAATCATTCCATTCATTGAAAAGCAAAGGCCCAACATTCTCTTTGCATTTATCAAATGGACGTTTATAAACTTGAAGAGCATTGACAGCACTTGAATCCATTGAGCCTTGGTTTATTGCACCACGAAACACTGATGTAAAGCTAATTGCTGCAATAAAACTGCATAAATATACATAATGACTAATTCAGGTGATTTAATTCCATTTTTATACTAGAAAGTTAGAGTAACCTACCAAAATTTGCATTGAGATAAATTCAGGCACTAATATAATTTCAGTCCAAATTAGTCACACAGCAGTTTGAAATGTAATTGAGAAGCTCTTACCTCTGCTCATACCTGTAAAAGAACCAAAGCAGCAAACCTCGTAATGGCTTAACAGAAGCTGAAACAGAAATTTTTTAACATTAGTAAAAAAAAAAAACAAAAAATTGGTGGTAAGTTATCCAATAATCAAAAATTTCAATAGCAAATTATAGAAAGCAATTAGAAGGACAAAGGTAGTAAATAGATAGGTACAATACTACCTGTAAGTTCTCTTCTGAAGGAGGCGGCCGCCTAGTGGTGTTATCGCTGGACTGTTAATCCGGACACCCAGATAACGTTCTGGGGACCCGGGTTCGAATCCCGAAATAAAAAAAAATTTGGAATTAAGAAACTACTGATGACCATGAATCCATTGTCGATTGTCGGAAAAAACCCAATTGGTTCACTAATGTCCTTTAGGGAAGGAAACTGCCATCCTTACCTGGTCTGGCCTACATGTGGCTCCAGACCCACAGCAATGTGGTTGACTCTGAACTGCTCTCTGGGCAATTAGGGATGGGTAATAAATGTTGTCTAGCCAGCAATGCCCTCATCCCGTTAATGAATAAAGAAAGAAAAAAAACCATTTGAACCTCAAAATAAATCACTGTTCCTTCAGTGTTAGTGGATCAAATTCCTGAAACTTCCTCCCAAATGACATTGTAGGTCTACCTATAAGCCATACACTGTGCAGCAGTCCAAGAGGCAGCTCACCACTACCTTGAAGGGAAACTAGAGACGGACCACTAATGACAACAACACTCACATCTCATTTATGAATTTTAAAAAATTGCTTTAATGCACTGTATTTCCACAGCACCTCCTCTTGGGAAAATGTCCAAGGCCACTTCAGAAGGGGAAAATAGAATTACATTTAGGCAGACAAATAAATGGGTGGTGATCATTTATTCTGAAAAAGTGAGTAGTAGAGACTGATATGAATTGGGAAAGAAACTTGAAAATGGGAACAGAGCTGAGGCTGAAGATTCTACCAATGGCCTATAAAAACATTGAAGCTTGGGCAAGGAGACAAGGCTAAATGAGGGCAGCCAAAATTAAGGCAGACAAACCTCTAAATGAAATTTCAAATTAAGAACAAGGAATTGTAAATTTAAAATATTTGGACAAGGCAATAAGCGACCTGTTCAGGCATGAAAGAGGCAGCTGCGATTTGGGCAAGTTAGCATTTATTTTGAGTGAAGAATTGATGGACAAAATAAGATATTGGGACTAGAAGCAACAAAGAGATGGATATGGGTCTTAATATTGGAAGGGAGTTGGAGGCAGATAATATTATCAAAATAGAAAAGACGTCCTGATGATGAATGGGTATGTGAAATATTTTTATTTTCAAAGCTTGGGTTAACATAATTTGTTTATCTGGCCAAAGTAAGTAAGAGTTTGCTAATTAGACAATAGGGAAGAGAAGATTTAATTCTTTGCCGTAACAATGGATGAAAGTAATAAAAATATTCTTCTGTACATCCAGACTATTTCTGTTTACTTGTTAGGAGAGTCTTTTCTCGAAGGAATACTAATAATCTGATAATTGATGTGGGTTGCACTTGCCATATAAATTTGTTACCAACCTATGATATAATTAAAATTCTGCACTGCAATAAAATTCTTCAGATATTTGGTAACCTATCTTATAGTCACACATGTAGATGATGTAACTTGCAGTTAATTGTTATTCCTCAAAAATAGTCTCTAGACTGTTTTAGCAATGAGATTATAGCCAGTGGCAAGACAATTACTGTGATGACTGTTGAACTCTGTGTATATATATTTCATAACAGTGTTAGCATAAATGATATTAATAGTCTACTAAAAGTCCTCATTATTTTATGTCAATTAGATGTTACCCTGTTCTATCAAAAGAAATCAAAGTTACCAATGTACAGAAGAGGCAATTTACCTTCAGGATTTCGACATTTTCTTTATATACATACTGAATGACAAATATTACATTCGTTAATAAAATAACAACTTCCACTGAAGGAAGTGGTGGGAAAGGAAACAGCAGCTATCACAATAACTCAATCTGTGACCTTACTTTTTCATCTGGTGTTTTTCTTGCTTTTCTTGGGCCATTGTGACTTCTTCCATTGATTACATCACCCTTCACCTCAAACTCATGCTGCAATATATTTCAAAGAAAATATACCTTGTTGAAATAGCTTGAAAAATAGCAGATCTATTTAAGATTACCAAAATACTTCAAGATTTACACTGCTACACACTTAATAGTTTGAAAGATATATTTCCAACTGCTCTAACTTACAGAACACACAAAAGCAACAAAAAGAAAACTACTTTCTGGAATGAGGTTGCTAGAACTGTACAGACACATAAATTAATGAAAACAATCTATAACAAGTTACAGCATCATCTCCGTGTGAGACTTTAAATTAGATTACCAAAACAAGAGGCTGCAGAAGGACTTGGACATGGTAGGTGAGTGGGCAAAGAAGTGGCAGTCGGAATACAGTGTGGGAAAGTGAGGTTATGTTCTTTGTTAGGAAGAATTGAGGTGTAGACTATTTTCTAAATGTGGACAGACTTTAGAAATCTGAAGCACAAATAGACGTGGAGTCCTGGTTTAGGATGCTCTTAAGATTAATATGCAGTTCAGTTGGCAGTTAGGAAGGCAAATTCATTGGTAGCATTTATTTCGAGAGTGCTAGAATATAACAGCAGGGATGTACTGCTGAGGCTGTATAAGACTCTCATTAGACTACACTTCAAATACGGTGAGCAGTTTTGGGTCCCGTATCTAAGGGAGGACATGCTGGCCTTGGAGGCGATTCTGAGGAGGTCTACAAGAATGGTCCCAGGGATTAAGGGCTTGTCATATGAGGTGTGGTTGAGGAGTCTAGGTTTGTATTCGATGGTGTTTAGAAGGATAAAAGGGGGAATCTCATTGAAACTTACAGAATACGCAGAGACCCAAATAGAGCTGATGTGGAGAAGATATTTCCATTTGTGGGAGAGACTAGGGCCTGAGGGTACACAATGGGGAGGGTGTTCAAGAATTTGTCCCAGCAGCAGTGGAGGAATGGCACTATATATTTCCAAGTCAGGATGGTGTGTGGTGCTTGTAGGGTAACTTGTAGTTGGTGGTGTTCCCATGTAGCTGCTGCTCATATCCTTCTAGATGGTAATTTGGAAAGTGCTGTCCACACACCCTTCATTAAATTCTGCAATGCAAATTGTACATGGTGTACACTGCTGCTACTGTCCATTGGTGGAGGAGACGCTGAGTATTTATGGATGTCGTGCTGCTTTGTCCAAGATGGTGTTAAATCTTCAAATGTTGCTGGATCTGCACTTATCCAGGCAAGTGAATTGCATTCAGTTCTACTCTTGTTGATGGTGGACAGTCTTTGGGGAGCTAGATAGTGAGTTACTCATTGCAGGACTCCTAGCCTCTGACCCACTCTGAAAGCCATAGTACTCGTATGGCTGGTCCAGTTCAGTTCCTGATCAATAGAAATCCATGGCATGTTCATTGGGGAGATTCAGCAATAGTAAAACCTTTGCATGTCAAGAAACAATGGTTACCTTCTGTCTTGTTGGCACTGGTCATGGCCTGGTACTGGTGTGGCATATACATTACTTGCCACTTGTCAGCCCAAGACTGGATATTGTCCAGGTCTTGCTGCATTTGTAAACAGACTGCTTCAGTGTCTAAGGGTTGTGAATTGTGCTGAACATTGTGCTATCAGCAGCGTACACCCTGATATCTGACCATACAACTAAGTGAAGGTCATTGATGAAGTAACTGAAAGTTTTAGGGGCGTGGGCAATACCCTGGTGAATTCTTGCAGAGGTGGCCTAGAACCTGGACAATTGACTTCCAACAACCACAACCATCTTCCTTTGTGCTGGATATGTGTAGGTAGGAGTCAGTAGGTTCACAGTGGTAGAGGCAAGAAAACAATAGAATATCCTTTATTGGTGCAAAACAATAATGGAAGATTGATTAGACCTTCAAGCTTGGGAGAAAAATTTGCTTTCTGACTGTATATGGTGCCCAAAGCTTATATTAATACAAATGGGAATAACAAAGGAGGCAGAATGGTATGGCTTAAGTTTGTCACAAGGGTTTGATGCGAGATTCGATGTTATTAAAAATATTAAGTAGTGAAGGTATCAACCCACGCTAAATCAAGATAGATTTTGATAGAAAATCTGAATTTTCTTGAATAAATAAATATCTGCAGTCAAGAGTGAACATTAATATTCAATTTCAGTGGTCTGGGAATGATCAAAGATAACATACTAAAAATGAAACAAACCAGCAATACCATCATCGTCAACAACTTTGCAATGATTTGTACAAGTGATTGAAGCCTTGGTGCACTAGTGTCCACTAGACCAAAATTATAAATACAGTTTTCATTTTATGATAAATTGTTTTCCATAAGGAAAAAAAATGTAAACGTACCTCATCAATTACCATTCCTTTTCTGAAACACTCAATGATCCCTGAAAATAAATTGTGATAGTCATTTTACAAGCATGATAAAATCTTAGCAAAAATGTTGGTCACATTAGGCATTTAATGACAATGGTTTTCAACTGGTGAGGCTGCCATGGTTTCACAAAGCTGATCTCTAAGTGTTAAGTCTTGGATCAGAGATAGAAATGTCACTGATTCAGAACGTCACACTTTAAGTTCATGGTCTCAACTCCAGAGCTAAGCTGATAATCTAAACTGACAATCTAAACTGACACACAAATGCAGAGCTGAAGAAATGCTGTACTATCAAAAGGTTCTGTTTTTTAGAAAGGAAGTGAAACTGAGGCATTCTGTACTTTCTCAGATTCTCTAGCACTAAAGGAAGAGAATGAGTTCAAGCGACAACCTATCCTTTAAACGCGAGCAACAGGACAAGTTAGTTGGTCATTCATCTCCTTGCTGCTTGTAGGACATTATCGTTACACACACACATACAAATTCCCTCTCTCCCATTTGTGCTTTAGTTATGAACTTTTCAACTTTCTCTGAACTCAATCAGCCTATTCACGATAATTTGAGCCAGCACATGAATGCAGTTGGTAATTAATTTATGGTAGAGTTTTTATTAAATTGTGCTTACATTGATAACTGACGACCCATCGCCTCCCCGCTATTCCCATGAAGTACTTCAGCGTTCTCTCACAAACTAGATCTGTATCTGAAATATAAATTTGTAAATAAACAGAGAATTAACTTGTCAGTTTAGCTTGGGTAATAATTTAACATTGTCCAACTCAAAACTTGCAGTTCTTATGATTATGGTCCCCTTTACTAGCAAGTTTCCACCTTGTGCTCTGTTAGAATTCTAATACCTTATATTTAAAAAAGTAATCTTGATCAAGTTGCACCAACTAGACTTAATAATCCATCAACAGCCTCAGTATGTTGCTTTTTAATGTCACGCCATATCAAATTTGGATTTTACTGGGATTCGAACAGCACACTAAGTAAATTTTAGGCACTTGCTTTTGGTACGATTATAACCAAAGTAGTGACAGAATTGAGGTGAGTGTTTCCAAAAACTTGATAAAATGCTTTTATTTGGAAAGGTTGAATATGAATTCTAGTGAGCTTCAATTAAAAGAATTACTTTATTCAAGGAAGGAGAAGAAACTAGAAGAATACGGGGGCGGGGTGGGAATGATTCCAGGTCAGAATGGGAGGAGGAGTGAGAGAAATAGAACTGGCGTTGACAATTTGGTGATGAATGGCCTAGTTCTGTGTTGCAGATTCTAAGTTTCCCTGCTTCAAAACATTGACTTTCTTGCTGGAATTCAATAAAATGTACAGCCGTCAAAATAATAATATACCTGTTTTCATGATGACATGGGTTGTGCTGGTTGAAAAAGTACTGAGAAATGTGGCCCCTGTTTTTCTTGCAAACGTTTCAACCAATAGCTGAAATTAGCAAAAAAAAACTCAGTTACATAGAAGTTAAATTTTTTTACCATGACAAGGCATTAACTTAGTTCAGTTCTTGTACAATTAACTTTTTGCTTCAATTTCATAACTGTCAAACTGACAATTCCATTGGACATGCAAAGTAATTGGAAGTTATGGATCCAACCAAAGCTCTTTCAAATATAACAAGGAGACAGGATAGACTTAACTTTTATCTTATTTAAAAGGCAAGTGTAAGGTGCTGTGTTTCAAATGTAAATCGATTGGTTACACCACTCAGCTTAAAGCAGAACACACTTTATTCTTACCCTATAGTTAAAACACAAACAAAAGAAAGAAGAATTGATGTAACTTTAACTCTATTAGACAACTTAACAGAACAATAGATTATTTAACTACTGAACAGCAACTGTTCCAATACAGTAACATCCCATAAACACACCCTAGGCAAAGGCAAATTCAGTAAAATAAATTGTCTCACATGCAATTCTCACAGGAAATAGAACTGCTTTTAGCTGTAATAGAGAGAAGAATAACAGCTTCCACATCCAGCTTCAAGACCCCAGCAACTGCTGAAAGCTGAATGAAAATCCTGGTTCTGAGAGAGCCTGACTCCACCCATTCAGGCTGCTTCTATTGTTCCAACTTTTTAAAAAAAACCATAAGTTTTCACAAGCTGTTTACTTCATTGGCTTGGAGCAGTCTATTTGGTACCTCTGCCTTAACCTCTCTTCATTAAAAACCCAGGACAGAATTCAACTCTTAAAGCCATAGTATTGTCACGAAGTTGCCTTCTGAAGAAATGCACATGATCTGTCTGGTCCACACTTATTGCCCCAGCCTGATGCTTTTATAAGATAATGAAATGGTGGAACCAATCCACTCTATGAAGTGTAGAGGTTCCGGGATCTTTGTTGAACATAAATCTCAATTTTATAATTCAACAATTTAAGAATATAAACATAAAGGAAGTGAGATTCCTTGGTAAAATGACAGTGAAGAAAGTGCCTTTACAAAATCAAAACCGAGTCATAAGTCATAGAGATATACAGGACAGAAACACACTCTTTGGTCCAACTCCGCCATGCCGACCGGATAACCTAAATAAATCTAGACCTATTTACTAGCATTTGGCCCATATCCCTCTAAACCCTTCCTATTTATATACCGATCCAGATGTCTTTTAAATGTTCTAATTGTACCAGCCTCCACTACTCCCCCTGGCAGCACATTCCATACATGCACCATCCTCTACATGAAAAAGTTGCTCTTTAGGTCCCCTTCCTCTCTCACCTTAAACCTACGTCCTCTAGTTTTGGACACCTCCACCCTGGGGAAAAGACCTTGTCTATTTACCCTATCCGTGCCCCTCACGATTTTAAAAACCCCTATAAGGTCACCCCTCAGCCTCTGACGCTCCAGGGAAAATAGTCCCAATCTGTTCAGCCTCTCGCTACAGCTCAAACCCTCCAATCCTGGCAGTATCCTTTCTGGGGAAGAAATGAAAGAAATTGTTTGTTGCAGATGTGGTTTTGTTTTCTTTTGGTATACAGGCAGCAAAAAGTGGCACAGCTTGTAGATAATTGCATCTCATTGTTTAACTGGAATACTCTGTCAATGCCAGCACTTTGTCAGCAGTGATATTAGCATACAGAACTGAGCATGCAGTGTCATGGATGCTGGTTTTTAGCATTTCAGTTCTTTGAGAGAACAGCCACGTTCAATGGCTGAACATGCGGTTCATATAAATATTGGCCCTTTGACCGTTTTGGCTTCAGGATTAGTTTCATAGCTTTCACTTTACTCTTGTCCAGAGCAAAGATGTCAGCATTTGTTCAGACATATAAGTATATGACAGCTCAAGAATTAATGAATTACAATTATACTTGCCTTCAAGTTCTAGCTTCATGTGTATGCTTAATAGAACAGCTTCAACCATATTTCTACTCTGTGTCCTGAGACTCAGAGGTGTTCTCTTTCACATAATATGCTAAATTGAGGCCTCTTGTGTCTTCTCAAATCAACATAAAAGAATTTCTGAAGTTCACTGGGAGAACATGCAGTGTAAAGTAGCATACTTTTCTGCATCATGTTGAATTCCAGCAAGTTATAGGCCATCACAACAGCTAAATACTTCTCTGATGTTTGGAGAAGGTCATATCCATACAAGAACTACTGGCATGGAAAACATACCATTCTTTGGGGTAAACTTGCTCTGCAAGTAGCTGATACTTTTTTAAACATGACCCAAGTAAAGGCGTTCCTCTGATGCCAAGGAGTAAGATGCTTCTCTGGTTGTTGTCGATTCCTCTGTTGTTTTTGTGTCAATGTGATAACTTTTGCATCGCACCTGTCTTGTGGAATGGAGCTTATTTCCCGATAGAGAAGGGAAAGGTCACAAAGGTATGGCACTAAAGGGAACTTGTGTTCAAACAATTTGTCTGACAGCCTATCTTAGCCTAACATCTGCATGATCAGGAGACTCTGGCCTTTTGAAGCTCACGTTGAGGGTTCTTCATTTAACTCATCCACGACAGGAAACCGTGGGAGAGTGTGTCACATAACACATTGGGACATCTTAATTCTGAGGTGTACTTCACTAAACAGTGACTTCAGGGAGCAACTTTGATGACACAATAAGTGACTTCTCAATCCTTTCGCCTTCACTTGAGGATTTTCATTATCGTGGAAAGTTGATTGCTTGACACACATTGATCCAGTATTTATTTGCACAACACGTCTATCTTCTGAACAGCTGTCTTTGTCCATTGAAACTCCTCACTTGCATCTTCTTTCTCCACAAGATGTTGAACAGTTTGATGGTTCCACTTCTGACAGTTTCAGCGTGAAGATTAGAGTGCAACAGGACTGTGTCTGGTCTGGACATGCTGAAGAAGATACCTTTGCCTTCCTACCAGATATGGAAGGAGTCTGCATGCACAGATGACAAGCTGTACAATCTAGTAAGACTGAAAGCCAAGACAAAAACTTCTGTCCTGATCAGAGAATACCTCTACACTCAATACCATAATATCAGCCACATGGAAACTCAATCACACATGCCTGTAACTTTTTCTGCATGAAATGTTACATTATCACCCTGAACACACTAAATAACAAGGCCGAAGGCGTTTAACAAATTCGGTTACTTTGGATGCAGTAACACCCTGTCCTTTGGAGTAGAACATGATACACACGTGACGCTAGCAACAGTAAGTTCCACTTTTGCTGATTCACAAAACGCACAGAAAACCATATCAAGCTCACCCTTAGGACCAAGGTAATGGTTGGTAAAGCCTATGTTCTTGGTACCTTGGATATGACCGTGAAATATGGATGGCTTTCTGCCAACAAGAGTAGTTCAACAACATCTACCTTCATTGGCTGCAGCATATTACGCCAGGTTAAAATCACAAACCTCTCTCAGGAATAGTTTTTTTTAAAAAGTTCATTCACGGGATGCAGACATCGCTGGCCAGGCAGCATGTATTGCCCATCCCTAATTGCCCACAGGGCAGTTTGGAGTCAACCACATTACTGTGGGTTTGGAGCCACATGTAGGTCAGACCAGGTAAGGATGACAGTTTCCTTCCCTAAAAAGACATTAATGAACGAGATAGTAGGAACTGCAGATGCTGGAGAATCTGAGATAACAAGGTGTAAAGCTGGATTCAATGATTTTAACAGGCAATTCTGCTACCTCCAACAAGGAGGTTCAGTAATTTCTCACCGTGGGTCAATATGCCAAATATCCTGATCCAACTGGCAACAAAATTAATTGGGAGAGTACAAGGAAAAAAGGAAAAAAATAGTTAATACTTTAAGAAGTGTTAGCTCTGTTAAAAGGTGCTAAAAGTTTAAAACTGAAGAGAAGTGATTGGTTCATTTGCTTCAGAAAACTCAAAAATTGACATGGATTCAACTTACATTTTCATTTTTGTTCAGACCAGAGGCTACTAAGGACATGTTTCTTTGGATTGTCACAACTGTGTTCTTGGTGGCGTTTGAAGTTTTGTTGAAAACAGGAGATGAAGTTGGTGAAGATTTGCTTTCCTCAGAGCTTTGCAACATTGTCCTTCTGTTAGCATTCTCATTTTCAGGCTGTAATGTACTTGCATTGCCGACTACATTCTCTGTAGATTGGCTTTCTATGGGTGACAAAAATAGAAAAAAAAACCTACTTTTTGAAGCCAAAACATAATCTCTTTCCTGCACTCGGACTTTCAGCAGTTCCTCAATATCAATATTTGAAGAATAAACAAATTAGTTAGCAAACTGTAGAATATTATATGTTGTAGAACTCAGAAATTTTTGCTAAGTATCAGCAATCCTTGCTGATACAATTATGTTGTTTGAAAGATTTTTACACTTTGAGATCTCTCTTTAAAGGCAAAATGAAAAAGGGACATTTGACCAATTTTAAAGACTGCTTGATAGATAGCATGTCTGGGTGCTTTGGTTATTGAAGGGGCCCAGTCTGATTAGTTGGTAAGGAACTGCAAAGTACTTGGAGACAATGGCAACAGTGTGTCCACTAGCAGTGGAAAGATTGAGTCTCCAAAATCCCAGAATAGGTGTTGAAAATGTCAGATTGCCAACCAGTGTGCTTTAAACTGTCCCAGATAGAAGGGACTTGGACTCATAAGGATAGCAAATCAGGACTTACAGCTGGATACAAGGCCCAGGTGATTGACCTTACCATAGAAATGGATTTTGAGAATAGGAAAGGTTTCTAAGAGATCCTTACAAACTTAGACACATCTAGTTAGTCTGTCAAGATGTGGGACAGGGAGAACTATAGGCAGCAAGAAAAGATGGTTCACCATGCAGTAATGCACATAAACTTGAGCTCAAATTGGAAAGACCAAACCAGTCGGGAGTTAAAACAAGATTGGAAGATTGGTCTGGCTTTAGTTAAACAATGAAATCTCCAGGAAAACCTGCACTGCATAAATCATTTCCAGGTTCGCAAAAACAAAAGTTGGCAACAAACTCTTGGAACTCAGTATCATTTTGGAATGATCCTGAGAAAACTGAACATTATCTTAAAGGACAGTGTACCATAGTAGGTTTCTACTTTTTCAGGAACATGTATTTTAAGCTAGAGAACTGAACAAGTTTCCAACAAGAATGAGGTTTACGTTTTTAGTCTGTTGCTACAGCAAACTTGCTAAAACATGAAATCTCATCTGTTCAACTATGAACTAAATTTTAGCTTCTTTTTAAATGTTATCAGTATCTACAGGGATTGTGACATTGCCCATATAATTTAGTTACAACTTGAAGGATACATTGAGGAAATCAAAAAGCGACACAAAACATGAAATTGTGTCCCAAGTGTTATCTTGATGCTTAAAAGAAAATATTAATTAATTGAATGTAACCTGTGTTTTCACTGCCATTCGAAGGCAACCACTAGGAAATTATCCACTTTCTTTTATTCAACTTTCGTATGTAAACAAGAGAGAATAATCAAATTCCTGCAAAATCAACAGTTCAGCTGGGTGAAACTCTTCAGGACAAACACTTCAGTATTGGACATTAGGACAAGACAATAACACTAAGCTTGCAGACTGTGGCATCTTTGTGCATTATACTAATTGTGTTAAATTTCTGCAGTACTTTTAAAGCAAATATAATATATTGATAGGCTCCTGCCATCAAACTCTAATGCAAACATTTGTGGATGTTTTGACTGTAAACTTTCCTTTATATGAGAAATACCTTCACAATCTGAGTTTACGTGCACCTTTGTCTCCCCTTCCTTCTGTGCTGCATTTGGAGAATTGATCATTTCGTTTTTAGAACCAGCTTTAGCTTGGAATTGGTCCAGCAAGTCATTCGCAGCTTGGTGTTTCTCTGGTATTTGTCTAATTTCCAAATGCCCAAGAGATTCTGGGCTGACAAAGAAGAGAAAAAGCAATTTAAAATCATTTTGTTAGAAGCACAAGAATCTTCAATACAACTTACAATTCCTCAGATACAGAAGTAAGCCACATCCACTTGCAGCAAGCCATGGACAACTTCATACTTGGGCAGAAAAGGTGGAAAGCAATATTCATACAACTCAAGAAAGACTGCAGTCATCACCTCCCCCTGGACATTATCATTGCTGAATTCCGCAATACCAACTGAACTGAATCAGGCATAAAAATTTAGTAGCTATAAGAACAGTCAGAGATTGGGAATTCCGAGGCTAGCAACTGGTATCCTGACTCCCCCAGCTCAGCAAAAGTCAAACTTCTCACCATCCAAGACAAAGCCTTTCTGATTAGCACCAATGCAGAGTGCCACCAGTGTGCACTACGTACAAGATGACTCAAATATCACCAAAGCTCTTTTTCACACCTGCAAACTCTACTACTTAGTAGGACAAAGACAGCAGAGGCATGTGAAAACTGCCATCTACAAGTTCCCTTCCCAGCCATATCCAATATTGAACTGGACCCATTCACTGCTGTTCCATCAATGTCATGACAATTCTGGAACTGCCTTTCAAACAGATGTTCAGGTGTACCTGCACCAGGTAGACTGCAATGTATCAGGGTAGCAGCACAATACCACCTTTGGACAATAAATGTTGGTTTTGTCAGTGCCAGCCACATCCCACAAAAGAATAATGAAAACAGTCTACAAATTAGTTCTGACATTATTCACAAGAGGTATTCTGTTCATCTGTATTTTTGCATTCCCAAAATAATTGAAACACAAACATTACAAAAAGTAATGGAGAACTTGATTTTGCAAGTATTCCTGTGCCATGGCAAACTACACTGTACCGATAATTCTGCCAGAAACAATACTTTAGGTTAGGTCAATATCATTACTTGAATCATAATTGGAAAAAGTTAACAATGACACTATCACACAGTTAAGCGCCACATGAAACATTCAAGTTGTTCAGATGCTGACCAATTCGTTACAAACTGAACTTAAAAAAAAAAGTTGTAATAAACTAGGTTGCCCAGTCTGAGGGGAGAAACAAGAATAAGGGCTCACACTAAATGTATTCAGAGTCTGCATGTTATGCCTTTAGTCAGGAAATGTATGCAGATTTAAAACAGCATTTTATCATTTGATCTGCAGATGTAGTATTTTACCATTCAGACTTCTCTTGGACCTCATGCATAAAAGTTACACTTGTATTTAGGACTTCAGCTGCTGGAAGACATCTTGATCTGCTTTGCAAATTTTCAATGTGCCCCTGGTAAAAGTCAGCAGTCACTGTTGACATGGAGAAAAAGAGGTTTGTAAGTTATACTTATTTATTCTTACACCAAGTTACAACATGGAAGCTAGCCATGCATCCCAGTCAGTTTGTGTCCAGATCTGTGAAGTTTTAGATGAAAGCCATAATTCCAAATTTGCTTCCAAAATCGATTAAATATATTCCACCCAAGGCCAATTATGCTCCACTGCACTGATTGTAAAGGATTAATCAGCATAAATAATTCAAAATGCTGCCAGTGGATTATGAAGGCCTAACTAACTGATCAAAATTAACCTGTTGATGTCTTGCTACCTGTAATATTTAGGGACTTGCAGCTCTCACCACTAGATTAAGCGCTTTAACTCATCAACATTTTCCAATTAAGATTTTTCTTTGTCCTTGTCGAAGGTGAATGGCTCCGGAGTCATGCAAAAACCGACAAGGGAGAAAATGAAGCAACAACAGGAGGGTGGTGCATGTGCTGAATGTGCTCGCAGGGGAAGTCGGGGGGAGGGGGGTGGCGACTGGTACAATTTCAACATTTAAAAGGCACCTGAATGGGTAAATGAATAGGAAGGATTTAGAAGGATATGCACCAAATGGGGCTAGATTAATTTAGGATATCTGGACAGCATGGACGAGTTGGACAGAAGGGTCTGTTTCCATGCTGTACAGCTCTGATTCTAAGAGTGTCTGAATCCTCGGAGCAAAGTACGCACCTTGTTAAAAAAAAAATTGATGTTACTGAAAGCAGCAAGAAGCCAACAACTTACAGAAAGTAATTTTACTGCAGTGAAGTAGTGTCGCATTATACAAAAACAACAGCAATATATAACCTTCAAAATTAATTAAGAAATTCAGAATTCAAGGGGAGGGCAGGGGAAATGGGTGGAAGAAGTGGTGGAAGCAACGAGTAAAATCAATCACAATACGAATAACCCAGGTGTTGTGAAATAGCTTCAATTCAGCATGCTGAATTGTTCCTGATATTTCACTTGTGAAATATTTAGGGTCTGAATTTTAAAATTATGGGCTGTAATGAGAAACCCTCGGTTTCCAAAACTCTGGATGAAAACATGAGGGTTGTCATATCACAGTTATAACTAGCATGAGACTACATTACATTTACGATCTTGCAATAATAAACCTAAAGTAAAAACTGTCAGTTGTAAAAAGCCATTGCAGTTAAGAACTTGAATATGTGCTGGAATAGCATTCTGTGAACAGTTTAAGATCTCAGGTTAAAGCAATTGTTGGTGTTTTTGGTAAGAAGAAATGAAATGCTTGTGAATTGCACATGTGTAATCACCGACTTGATTGTAAAGAAAAGTAACATGTGATATCACAAGGTACAATGCTGGTATGTGCATGCAATGGTTTCATTAATTCCAGTTTGAATTCATTTGAAACTATTAAAATGTCAATACCATCTTTTTTGAGGTTGGTTGGCTCGCCAAGCTGGTTTCCTATTTTGGGAAAACACACCGACGCTTCATCGGAGGCTACACTGAGGATATTACCCAGCATGGTAACAAAACGTCTGCCAAACAAGAAACCAGCTCCGCAAGCCAACCAACCTCAACACCCACAACCTGAGCTACAAATCTACTCCAAAACCTTACAATACCATCTTTGTTAACAGCTCTCAAATGTTTGTTTGCCTCTGCAGTTAATTTAGAAAAAAAAAACCTATTGACTATTTGTTCTCAAACTGTCACTGACACAGATTAACTTCTGGGCAGACCGCAGAAATCAAAACGTGAAAGTTTTTAAAAAGTAAATATGTGCATGAAAGCCACCATTTAAAAACACACACAAGTTTAGCTAATGAGTAGCTGCAGATGTTATTGGCAGAACATGCCGAACTGAGTTGATTCGATCTCAACTGAGATTAGAGAAATCTCAGTGCTCCAGAAATTAAACAAGTCATTAAGGGTGCTTGATTCTGATCAATGGCATGCACCCGTGCCTGAAGTCAGACTGTGTCCCCTCAGGCAGGCAGGAGCATGCTTAGATGGGATGCCCCAGGAATTTAATACTTGTAAGGATTGTGACAGATTTGCACACAAGTAACATTTTGCCATGAACTACACTCAGTAAGCACTTCGCATCCTAATTAAAAAGAATGGAAAGAAAAAAGACAAAGAAGTATATTCACAGCAATAATAGATTAGCTTTTGGCTCTCTCCATATAAACCAATGCAAGCTCAACTGTTGCGTTGGTCAGATGCAGTAAAAAGGTGTTTGGCGCAAGCAAGTTGATCCCATTCCACTATCAATACTCATCTGAAAATTTTCTGTCCAGTGAACAATATTGCTGTTGAAGTGAGATTTAATGTCAAAGTTGGTTCCTTAAATTTATTCCAAATAATGTGCATGTTAAATCTTTCTAGGAAATCCATATTAAAAGAAAATAGTGAGCTTTAAAATTAGATTAGAATCTTCAGTATTAAAATGAGATCAAGTCCAGAGCAATTTAATTTTTAAACTGGCTGCTTCTATACTGGGTTTCAGTTCTGCAGAGTCAGCAATATTTCTTATTAGAAAGAGTGGATTTGACAGTGAAAAGTTACAGCTTACCTAAACGGTAGTTGGACTAAATTTTAATTACAGGTTTTAATTACAGGTTAAAACTGCATTTCACGGAGAAAAATTGCAATTAAACCAATTTGTAAATATAACAAGATAATGTTTCATTGTATTATGTTCTCTTTACCATCATGCACATGACTGCTCCTGTTCTGAAGCAATTATGAAACTGTTGAAAAAATAGACTGCAAATTCAGATAATATATGAAATATCACAACATAATTGGTTTCCAGTCAGTCAGTCATGGAAAGTTAGATTTCAAATTGGATACTGACCACTATGTAATACAAATAAAGTATAATTCACGTCACACAAACTCCCCATATTATTTAAGCACAATTTTCAAAATGGTTTAATGACTTGTAATAACTTTTTAAAAATTCATTCATTCGATGGGGGCATCACAGGCTGGACCAGCATTTATTACCCATCCCTAACTACCCAGAGGGCAGTTAAGAGTCAACCACATTGCTGTGGGTCTGGAGTCACATGTAGGCCAGGCCAGAGGTAAGGGTGGTAGATTTCCTTCCCTAAATGTCATTAGCGAACCAGAAGGCTTTTCCCTGATGATCCAAGAACTTCACTTTAAAAAAGGCAAATCAAATAAACTACCTTCACTCCCATTAAATTCAATTAACTCTGGACAGTCTTCTCGGTCATTCATTGACAGCAGGTGTTCAGAGTCTTGGCTTCCATGTTCATCCAGGACTGCCTCAAGCACAGCCATTTCATGTTCAAGTTTCTTGATGTTATCCTGTATTGCATGTCTTTGCTTGGAATGTAAAACAAAAAGTCTCCAGTTTAAATAAAAAAGTAACAATGTTATTTAAATGTAGCTAGTGCACCAAATTATTTTAAACAATTCAACAGAACAGAACAATTCAAAGACCAAAAAGATCTTTATAGCTCTAATTTATAGCTCCAAATTTACGTGGAGGATTTTTAATCATTATGCCATGCTGATGCCAGACTTCATTAAAAAGAATGATTTTTAGGCGAAAATCAATTAATTTCCTCATGTCCTGATTGAGAACATAAGTGTACACTACAAGCTTGCTGCACCAAACTCACTCTCAACTGACTAGGCAAAAATTACACCATTATGATCTTAACACCACCTAATGTCCCAAGTCAGGCTAATAGCTACAAATAAAATTTGAAAGACTCTGGAAAAATCTGTAGTGCACCCTTACAGTAACTGAGCAATAACTCTTGGATATTGATTTGAGAGATGTTATTCAACTCCAAGTAGTACTTTGCTGGTCCAAAATGGTATAGGAATATCATATCCTAAAACAGTATTACATTATCTTGTTTCAACTTTGTTGTTAACCAATAATTTAAAGACGTAGGAGGAACATGGCCGTTTAAAATCATAAGTCTATTCCACAGATCAGTCATGTGGGAAAATATTGCCCCAAGTCCCAAGTCTTGTACCTTGTAACAAATTAGTTGTATTTAATAAGATTATTCCACAGCACATTTCAACCTTTTACTTTTATGTCAATTTGTATCATTATATCTTACCTGTGTGGTTAGAATCTCACTCTCTGGAGACGAGTCACCTATGTGGCTGGCTTCACTATCATTAACAGGTACGTTCTCACCTTCTGTTAGCAAACATTGAAAAACCAAGATGATTATGAGCTGTGCCTACCTGTTATTTCCGATAGATGTATGTAAATTCTTAGGTGTGGAAAGGGAGATCAATTATCAAATACTCCCTTCCTGAACAGTAGTTTCCAAGTGTTGTAACTCAGATCCCAAAAACAAATCTAGAGCTCCAATGTTCTAACTGAAGCAAAGTAGCACAGATAGCATTCTACATCACCATCTTTCAGCCTTGTTTTCAACTCAAAATGTGTTGTTCTTCATGCATTTCTCAACACTTCTAATAGAAGATCATGATGAAGTATGTGGGACATGATTTAAAAAAAAAAACAACTTTACCTTACAAAGTTAACCATTTCTTTGAATTCTCCCCCTCCTGTACAGGTAGTTCTCCTATAACACGATAGTTGTGTTCTTGTGCAACCATGTGCTATAGAAAATCGCGTCATAGGGAAATCACTATACTGTAATAGAAAGGTTGCATTATCCAAACAGTGTTCACTACTCAATCACGTTACAGCCAATTCACGTTAACGAAACATGCGTTATAGCAGAAATACCTGTATGAATATTTAATTTATTTCTAACATTGATCTGTATTCACCAGCCCTTCTGAGACACACACTGTATTCCAAACTCTAAGGTTACCTCTGATCGTCTTTGGGATCATCCTCAGTAATTGTCCTAGCTTCTATTCCTACCTCCAGAACTATCAGCTCATTGAATTCCTATTAGAAAACCTTTACTAAACTGATGGACTTGTTCTATTCACAATCCTGCTCGTCAGGGTGATCAACTAATTTGATAAGTTACGTCCAAACTTTTGTTACAGCAAAGGGAGGAGGGAATACAAAAATGCATCAGATAATGAATGAGGAAATCAATGAACAGTAAAAATACTGGAAATTTAGTGCCATTAAAATTCAGAAATCAAGACCACTGCTGTAACACATCTCGGAAATTGTTATATGCACATTCCACGACACATACAAAGTCTCCTACTAAACAACTAGAAAGTACCAGTAACAAACATGAAAAATTGACTTGTTAATATGAAGCGATACTGCCTGCAGTATCAAGACACACTAGATTCTGAATATGACATTTCCAGTCGCCTTAAATGGTCTTGTAACAAAAAAAGAGCACAATGACCACAACTGACTTTGAATTATCGTTTTGATTAAAATGATAATGATTCAGTTAATATTTCTTTGCCAAACTGCAAATTTGGGCATTTATATTTTCTTGTTGACTAGAAATCGCACCCTTAAAATTTGTTTGAATTCCTAGTCAACTGATAAACTAACAGAATTTAAGATCGAAACACCAACAGGAGTAGGCTGTTCAGGCCCCATAAGCCTGCTCTGCCATTCAATAGAATCACAGTTAATACTGATCATAAATCTATCTACCTCAACCTTAACTGTAAGCTTTTCCCCATGTTGAAACATTAGATTGCAGTTTTTTGTGGATCAACTTGCATCAAAAACAAAAAACATTTCTCCAAAATGACCATTAATTACCATACCTAAACACGGTGGCTGAAGATGTTGAGCTCCCACTGTTTCTTCAACTGTGCTGTAATTTTTTTCTTCTTGATTTTCCAATTCAGTTACACTTAAAGCATTTATTTGTCTCAGAGTCTTCCTGCTCATTTTTGGTTGGGGACTGGCATCAGGGGATGAACCATCAGACTGAGAAGAGAACAAATCAGGAGATTCTCCAGATTCTTGGCTTGGGGAAAGGCATTTATTTTTGAGAGAGCCTTCACTACCTACATTTTCTTCCAATTTATTTGCTTCAGAACAATCAGTTTTTTTAATTTCTGTGCTGCTGTTGGGCAATGAAAAGGCTTGTCCTGGTGAGCCTTTTAAAGACAGATATCCTGTAACTGAGGGGCTTTCTGACACAGTTGGCGCATTTGACCGCGAGCTGTTGAATCCAAAGATCTGAAAACATGGCAGCTCTTCATCACTTGTTTCAGATTCCGAAGTTGATAGTTTAACTGGTCGCTTCTTCCGGCCTTTAAGTTGACCTTCAGTTGAGGACTTCGAATGGGAGGAGCTCACAGGTTTCTCCGTTGCAGCTTCATGTTGTCTCAGTTGCTCTTCACACGGTCTCAACTCGTACACACTTTGTACTTCATCCAGTTCATCCACAATTTTTGTAATGATTTTATTTAGGGTTCCTTCAGTATTGTCCAACAGCCCGTCAGGAGTAATGGAAGATATCTGTGAAATCTCTGGACATTTGTTCTCACTAGTTTCATTTTTGACAGTTGTGCTTTGTTGCGTGTTCATGAACGTAGGCTGAGTGTGACATCTTGCAACATCAGTTGACTTATCCAACTTGTTTTCTGTGGTGTTTTCTACAGCCAAGAGACCATTTAGAGGTAAGTTGCCAGTTTTATAGAGTCCTCTCTCTTTTGGCAATTTTTCTGAAGTATTTTCTTGACGATTATCTTTTTCACTTGCTTCTTGGCCAAGCAGATCTCTTGTTGAAAACAATAATTCAGACTCTGGAAGGGCACTGGATGCAAGTCTTGTGCTTAAGAAATCGTGCTGAGCCTCCTGGCCGACAGCTACTTCTAAGCCTCTGTTTTTGACTATTTTTGTGTTTTTTGTGTGCCATGAATTGTCTCTTGCATTGCTAAAGAACTGCTCATTAGCTTTGGCTTGGCTTGATCTATCAGAATCAAATATTTCTTTCTCTGTAGTAACCACTGAGCTACTACAGTTTAATCCTTTCCTTCTGAGCAACCTGGTGTACCTGTTTCCCTTCGATCTGCTCCTTGATGGAGGCACCACCTTCTGGACATGCTGTGCAAGTACAGAAGGTAGAGGTGATCCAAGCGTTGAGGCTGTTGGAGGCACAATTTCTACAGAATTGCCATTTTCCCTATTCAATAGTTGCTGCACATTGCCCAAATTAAATGTGCAAAGTTTGCTTTTGTCATCACTAGCCACCTTAGCATTTTGAATTGGAGAATCAATTTTATCCAAATTGACTTTTCCCAGTTCCTGATGTGTACCATCATTTCCATCAGTGTCTCTGATTACTGCATCTTCTGTTTTGATCTCCTCTGAATTACAAGCAGCTACATTATCAATACACTGGGTATCTGGAGCTGTTGTACATGCATCTTGTGCAGCCTGATGCTCTGTGGCTGCCATAAGAATGAATGATCTTCGTTTTGATAACCTGAAAGACTTTAGAAGAAGTTCAGTGTCTACTTCACTGTCTTCATTTGTCTCCTTTGATCTTGTCCGTTGTTTGATGGATACATCTTCACTGCTGTTTGCTTTGTTCATTACTGTTCTTGCTCTGGAACGACTTCCACATGGGGTCACTTCACCCTTACCCACATACCTGCAATGTAACTGAGGGTCACTAGGTCTTTCCCCTGGAACTAGCTGAGGTGCAAGTAGTAACAAGCTGGCTTCCGAACCTGAAGCCTCAGAGTTTCTGCCAGATGCTGCAACGAAGGAAGAGTGATCAGAGCGTAATGGATGTTCAGCTAGCACTGCAGCATCCTTGGTTTCTGCTGTTTTGTGGCAGTCCTTTAACTGACATACAGCACTGCCTTCAAGCTCTTCTACCACAGAGTTAGCAAATGATTCATTAGAAGCGACATAGTCTTGCTTTGAACAGTCAGCATCTGGTAAATGGTCCTTACAAGTCTGAACTATAACATCCTGCATTGGTAAATTCTCACTTTCTAAACACACCATTCCTTCTTCAGTATTTTTCTCAATAGGCTCTGCAAAAGGGGCAAAGCTTGCACTAGGTGAGAGGACTGAATGTGACCTGATCAATTTAGATTTTTTCCCTTTGTTTTTGTCTTGCATGATCAACTCTTCATCCAGCAATTTCAGTCTGCTGCTTCTTCTGGTAATCCTAGTTTCTAGTTCAGCCTTCACTGGTTCTTCACTACTAGGGAAACTATCAATCTTGTTCTCATCCATAAAAATTGGGTTGCTTCTCGGGCTTCCGTCAGCTCTGACAATGTGATTAACCAGCTGCAAGGGTTTAGTTTTTTTTTTGGTCCGATCTATTGATGATTTTTTCCCTTTTTTCCCCAAACTTTTGCTCATTTTTTTCTTGCCTTCAGCATCTGTCTTACACAACTCAGACTTGAGCTGCTGCACATTTTGCTCAGAATCCTTCATTATTATGTCATTACTAATTGCTACTTTGGTTGGTGTGGTAACAACTAGTTTGTCAATTTGTTTGATATCAGATGACCCATCTAATATTTCTTTATTTGTCTCCGTTTCAATGTTCTTAAATACCGGAACATTCTCTTTGGGGTCTATTTCGTTATTTTCATTCTGAACACCGGTGTCACGATTATCTTCTTCACTTACAGTCCTCTTTATAAAGTCTTCAGGGTTCAGTCCATTGCTTTTTCTTTTTGCTTTCTGAGTTTTACTGCATCTGTCAAAAATGTCTTCTCTGTGAGAAGTCAAATCATCACTCTTACTGTCAGAATTAAAACTCCAGTTTACTGGAACACTTTTTCTCTTGTCTCTCTTATAGGTTTTCGCAAAGATTTTGTTTTTAATGTCAGCTGGAGTTGTTTTTGGCATTTTTTGTTTGAAAGAGGAGAGGTGACCGTTTTTAACATTTTCAGCATCTTCTGCACTAGAAGCTTCCTCATCAGAGGCAGGGCTCTCTCTTTCTGCTAAGGAATCTGACTCAACGTTCTGGTCACGTGGATTAGGGTCAACAGCAAGAGTTGCCACCTCATCAACATTAATCTTGGATAACCATTCACTGACTTTCTTCATGACTCTCTGGCTTTTTCTCTTGGACACCTGTGGAACTGATGAATTCTTAGACTGGTTTATACTTCTCTGAAAATCAGTTTCATCTTTAACCATTTGATGGGAAACTTTCTGGTTTAACTTTTCATGGTTATCCAACAGATTGGCATCTTTCTCTAACACACTTTTTTCTGAAAAAGGCATTGTTCTGTCAGTGAAAAGTTTGTTCCCATCGGTGCAGTTTTGTTTATTCACCCATTCTGCAGCAATCTGTAACGAGTTCTTATTTGCAATGATTTTGCCATGTGCCTCTGGGCTACAGAAGTCACTTACAGATTTGTCCTTGGTCATTTGTTTTTGCTCTGTTTCAGATTCAGTTGCACAGGAATAATCACCTACATTTGTATTTTCAGTATTCTCTGGCACATCATTATCATCTACAAATTAAACACATTTTCAGACTTGGGATTAGTTTTGATTGCACAGTAATTTTTGATCCCTTATTTTGCTTGTGAAGACTTTCTTATGAACCTTTACAGTTGAATTTAAATACAAAACCTTAGACAGCAACTCTCCCTTGCAATGAAAAACAGCTTTGAAGAAATTTGTAATTGAAAATTTGGTGAAAATTATGTTAAGTAACAGATAGTGATTTTTTGTTTGCCCAGCTGTCATATGATCACAAGGTAAAAGTGTCATGTCAGAGATTTTTCCCCAAAATTTAAAGCAAATTGATATACAATACCAACAATTAACAATTTATTATGAATATCCAATATTATCCCTAGTCATTTAGTGACTCAATTCCTGCTTCTTATATTGAACTACATGGGGATAAGAACCATCCTAATAATGTCCCCAAGAATGAGATCAATGTTTTTTGTCCAAGAATCATTCATTTTTTAACAAATGTCTATGTATCAGTCAGATCCATCTCGGAATTCAATGGGGGGAAATTTTAACTTTCACAAAACTCTAAGGTCAACATTCTGAATATGGAGAGATAAAAATTGGTGAATTGAAAGTTAAGCTGCTGGCCTGAAAATGACACTATAGTGTAGCATGTAGATTAAAACGGAGGGAAATCTTTGGATATTGGCCAAAATAGCCAAGAAGTATCAGCAACATACTGATGTTTAATACATTATCGAAAACTCAGTTTCTCTCATTTCACAGCCAGTCTCTCAACTGTGCCAACTCCTGTAGCTTCCCTCAATTTGAACAGTCAACAATTTCTGTTACTTCCTCCTATTGCTTAACAACTTTATTCTCCAAATCTCACCATCTGCCTCTCAGGAAAATACTGTTACTCAGTACCATCAATAACTTACACTCAAATTCCTAAGCATTTTCCTTGTTGACGTGCTTAACTAGTCTGTCACTTCTGCCTTCAAATTTCGTTGTTCCACACTCCCTGCTATAGGACCCATCTTTGTTCCTTCAGGTTCAAAGGTTGCATTGGAACATATCTACCATACAACAAGGCCAGTCATTCAATTAGTCACAGCACTGGCCTAACTCTGTTAATCATTATTGTGTCTCATTACTGTCACTCTTGTGAAAGATCAGTTACAGGCTTGTCAATGTTTCTACAATACCTATGCACAAGCACCACTCCATTCCGATTAAAAATGGTCATCACAGACTTCCTTCAAAAGTCCACACTTAATCTACCTGACCTCACCCAATAACATTTCCTTTTAACTTTTTCTTCGTGATAAACAATGATCATTTTCCACCTCCAGGTAGATACCTCTGAAAGCTCCCTACTCACGTTCTTCACTATGTCCGCTGTACCTGCTAAGAGCAGAGCCCACTTTAATACAGCAAAATATCCTCTTTGATCTTTGCAGAATTTGATATTTTTGCCTCTTATCCAAAGTTTAGCTCCAACTCTGCTGTATAAAAAAAAAGGACAACTGGAGTTCTTTTCCCAAAGAAGGGTCTAGGCCCGAAATGTCAGCTTTCCTGCTCCTCTGATGCGACTTGGCCTGCTGTGTTCATCCAGCTCTACACCTTGTTATCTCTTCTTTTCCAAAAATTTCTCTTCCCACTTCCGAAATTCTCAGCAACATGCAAGGATTTTTAAAAAGATCAGCCCCATTTTCCTCTGCTTTAGCTACAAGCTGCACGATAGTGTCATATCCAGTCATGGAGTCAGCATTCATTATACCAATCTTTACCTTTCCACATTCAGAATGTCAACTTTACAGAAGTTTTGGGAAAGTTAAAATTTGTTCCAGTTGAATTCCCAGATGGCAGACATACCATTAAGTTTCCACTACAAATTACATTGCATTCCCACTCCCAGCCAATTACTCAGACCGTGCAAGAGGATTCCATTTGGCCAAAAGTGAAGCTTCAAACATTGTTAAAATTTTCATAATTGGTCAGAAATAATGTTTCCAACCTCACACTGCTAATGAATACGGATTCACGTTTTTCACCTCCAGACTAGATTTGTTTAATACCTTACTTGCTAAATTTTTGAGTAGGAGAAGTGATGCTGGAACAAAATCTAAATAATCCAACGGATGTCTGGAAAGAAAAATGGGAACCCCATATGAAATACATCTTAGATAGTCTAAAATAGATAGATCTGAGAAAGTCTAAAATAAATTCTGCAATGAGCATGCTTAAGACAACACTTTATATAGAGTCAAGCATATGTTAATCGATGAGCTATTGGAAGGACTCAAGTACACTAAATTGGGGTAAAAGGTGATTCTGGTCATCAGGAATTCAGAAAGTGTTTGAAAAATAGGTGATAAAATGATAAAATCAAAGATTAAATCTGTAATGCACTGAATAGTGTTATACTTTTTGATTACATATATCAAATATGAACAAGGGAAGTAAGAACAAAGTAAATCTGAACAACTGGCTTTGAAGCCACTTCTTTCAGATGAAAGATCCTGCTTACATGACTAATCTTTCAACAAAAGAGTTGAAGAATCTTCTTTAAAAATTTTCCAATAAAGAGATTGCGTCTGTAAGGAGAAAGTTCTTCTCTAAGAAATCTCAGCCCTCCAAGATAATAGAACAATACCTCTTGGGTATCAATCGATTTCACATGACTCAGTCACGAAACAATGCTAAGCAACTCTGTTCTGTGTATTATTGACTGGAATGAGGCCATCAGTGAAACAATGTGATTTGCATAACTATCTATTTTCTACTGCAGCCAGCAGCACAGGAACCATCAAATGGCAAAGACTAGTTGATCATTCAGGTTCGTCTCACTTTAATCAATTTTCCTTCATTTCTTTTTGAAAAAAGCATTTACCACCAGAAATTGCTTTAGTCCAATTACCAGTGCTTGTTTCAGACAAGAGGTTATAATAAATGAAGCCAAGAAGGTTGTAAATGCAGTTCTGAAGAAGTTATATTGGACTCTAAATGTTAACTTTGTTTCACACTCTGCAGATGCTGTCAGAACTGCTGGGTTTCAATGGTACTTTCTGCTTTAATTTTAGACTTCCTGCATCTGTAGTACATTTCTTTTATTGGAAATAAGTTCCATCCTTCACAGCAATGGAATGATCTGCGCATGGAGTTAGTGGTAAGGACCAGTAGGAAAACGAAGGAGGAATGCTAGATGGACAGAATTGCAAAGCACCACAGAGCGACAGTGCTTTAAACACTGCACAGGCAACATCAGGAGTGCAGAACAGCTACTCATAAAAGGAGAGGAAAGCCATTAAAAGTCACAACTGCAGAACCATTGTGACCGAACAGCAAAGTACAGCCGGAAATATCACAGCGACATGACAGAATAAGTAGTCACATGGGGTCAGATGCAACTAATCCCTGAATTTTTCAGACATTAGGTTTGTCATGCAGTTGTATGCAGTTATGAACTAATCAAACAAATGTAGGACTTAAGTTAGGATTAAATAGAAAGTGAGAGAACATAAAGGTTTGGAACATTTCAGTTAAAAAAATCATAGGGAATGGGTAATGAGAGTTAAGTAAAACATTTAGATTTATCTCCCTAAAAAAAGTGATGGTAGGACAAGGGAAGAAGTTGATGCATGAGAATCTTGATTTACAAGTTAATCTATTAGCTCATTGCTAAGCTGAATAAACTAATTTATCAGGGCATTTGCCTTGACCATCTAGGGCGCTGGAGAAGAATTTCCTTTTTTGCACCAAACTTCTTAAGATTTTAATCCAGTTTGGTACCTCTCTCTGGATCAATCAGCTCTGGATCAATGGTAGCACAGGTGCATATTGTGGTGCATAAGATACTATAAGGTTAAGATATTATGGAAGAGTTTGGAAAGAATAGCACATCTTTGAAACAGACTACCAGAAGAATGGCAATGTAAGGAAACAAGTGTGTCAATGAAAAGTAGGAAAATAAACTGGTTAGCTAACAAGGATTTTAACTTCTTTCACAAAACTCACATGTAACAGCTTTTTATTGTTTTTGAATCGAGCAGCTTATAAAGCAACAAGTCATTATGGCAGAGAATATTTATTGTTTCAAGAGGAAACATAAGGAAGTCGCAAGTCTGCAATTTCGGCAATTCAAACAAAATCATACCTATTTTTGATGAAAACAGCTCCTCCCGTATTGGTTGAGATAGGTTTGATTCTTTTCCTTGGCAAGGTTTCTCATCATTGTCACTTTGATCAACTTTCTCTTTTTGAGGAGTAGTATTTGTATTAACAGTCCTTGGATGTAGCGTTGATCTATGGGAGCAACCAGAAAGCAACTTTGGAATTCAAGCTTCAGTCAATTAATTGCTGGTATTACAAATCTTCATTTGAAAAATGAAGTTAGGGGTCTTGAAAGTAAACAATTCTGGGACAAAGTACAAGTTGAATTAGTTAATAGACTACTATGCTGACACAGACTTGGATCAGGATAACTAATCAGTATGAGCAGCAGTGGGAAAGCACATCTGTTACCTGCCAGATGTTAATACCAGGTCTTGCACCTGTGCTTTCCCACAATAGGGCGAGGAGAGCTAAGAAGCTGCCTGACCTATTTCTTTCCTAACAGCCAATTTTTCTGGCCAACTGAGGATGTTCTAGGCCTGGTATATATACCATACAAACCCATACAGAACAAAATAGGAAATGATACAACTCACCATAACAGACTGGACAGTATAAATTCCAAGCAGAGTAGAACAACATCGCTTCATTGGAGGCCTCACTGATGATGTTACCTAGCATGGTGATGAAATGTCTGACTGAAAACGAGCCAGCTTGGCGAGCAAATCAAAAACCACATGAAGAGATATAATTCTTGTCGCAGCGACTGCTGAACTTGGATTGCTGGCTTGGAAGTGTTTTGTGCACACGCCAAGGTGACAGTCTGAGGACTTGAATACAAATCTGCTCGTGTCCCCACCCTGCTCCAAAACCTTGCAAAATCTGGGTCGCTTGGGAATTAGTAAAAATGTGTTCAAAATATTAGTTACTTGAACAAAAGGGCTACCCAACCAAATGATAAAATTTGGAAATAGTGTTTAGAGACATAAAAATCCTAATGGGTGATAATGTATTGAAATCCTATCTTTGCCACCGTGGCTGATCTTCACTTGCAAGTCAATAATTTTTTCTAAATATCCAATATCTCTATCCACATGGATAAGGAGAACCACTGATTCAATTGGGACAACACCAAGATCCTGGGACAAGCAAAGCAGAGACAAGCACAGGAGTTCCTAGAAGCTTGGTACTCCACGAACAAAGCCATCAACAAACACATAGAACTTGACCCCATATACACTCCATTGCGAAGGAAAACCTGAAGTGAGGTAATCCAGCTCAACTGACTCGAGTTTAAATACCAGGCGGGAAAACACAATGGTGTTTCATTGGAGGCTGCACTGATGATGTTACCCAGCAGGGTAATGAAGTGTCTGCGGAACAACGAACCAGCTCGGCGAGCCAACTAACCAAAAATATCAAATATTAGAGCTAAATTGTTTTAATTTTTCCCTTCAAAGTATCCAAATGTATTTTAATACCAATAACATACTTCACATTTTTAAAATATAAATCCAAAAGAGCATTGGAGAAACATTTATTAAATGCAGTTAAGTTTCTGGCTCCATACAGGGCATGATTCTCCTGATTTGTCTAGTCCCGCTTACTTTATGTTAACATGTGTTTTGAACAAAGGCTCCTCTGAAGAATCTGAATCTGTAAAACAAAAAGCAAAAAGGCACACTTTAAACATTTGTATGTTGACCAAATGGCAAATGTTATATAAGTAGGAACACTTCTAACTCATCGGCTTACTTAAGAGGACACAATCTAGACCAGGAGCGTTGCACTGCTAGAGGGGTCACCCGAGTACTAAATCACAAAAAAATCCACTGGGGAGGGAAAAAGACCTCAATAGTATCCAAAGACAAGCAGGAATGCTCCCAGTGACCTTGCCAGCATCTATTCTTCAAACAATACCATTAAAACATTGTCAAACAATTTATCTTCAAAACTGATAATCTTCAAATGAATAATTTAATTAAGCAATAACCTATAGAGCATATATTACTTCAAAGGGAGACACTGCAAGCAGAACCGGCCACTAATTCTCCCAATAGCCAAACAGCAGAACAATCAGTAATGAAGGAGCTGCTGATGCCTGTGGGAAAAGACATTCTTCCCCTCCTAAATTTTGTTGGGAGAAGTGGGCCTTTGGTCCAGAGAAACACAATAAGCCACATAAAACAAAGATCATTTCTTCATGCTCAGCCATCAAAATTCTTACCAATCCCAACATAGGCTGGAGTTCTCTCTATTTTCTGCCTTTTATTTCTTGTGGAAACTCTTCTTACAAATTCAGTCAAAGGAGGATCAGAGTGCACCTTCTGTATAAGGAAATACAAAGTTATTTAGAATATCTTTAATTATACAATAAGTTATGCAACATATTGTAATTATTGATCAAAAATAATGAGGATCAAATTACAGAGATTACATCACAATCATCAATATTTTGGACGAAATCTCCTGCAAGCCCACTGGCTGATGTCTAGCACAATATGTGAAGATCAAACAAATTCTTACTGGAACTCCAGAAATAAAGTATAAAACATAAGGGAGTGATCATAAGACTGGATCTAATTCAGACTTCAGAAGCTCGTTACATAAATTGTTCTAAGCCATGAACCAAATCTCTGAACAAGGTAACTGCCGTGAAATCACTTGAGTATCTCTACACAGCGTAATCGACCAAGGCACTGGAAAAGACAATGGCAGAAACAGCCCTGTTGACCCTGCAAAGTCCTTCTCACTGACATCTGAGGGCTAGTGCCAAAATTGGGAGAGCTGCCTGCCAGACTAGTTAAGCAACAGCCTGACAGTCATATTCAAAAAATGATACCTTACAGACAATGTCCCAGACACCACCATCACCATCCCTGGGTATGTCCTGTCCCACCAGCAGTGGTGGCGGCACAGTGGTACACAGTGGTACACAGTTGGGAGGGTGCTGCTCTAGGAGTCCTCGACATTGACTCTGGACCCTACGAAGTCTCATGGCTGCAGGTTACACATGGGCAAGGAAACCTCCTGCTGATTACCATGTACCGTCCTCCCTCAACTGACGAATTGGTACTCCTCCATGTTGAGCAACACTGGAGGAAGCACCAAGGATGGCAAAGGCGCAAACTGTATTCTAGGTGGGGGATTTCAACGTTCACCACCAAGAGTGGCTCAGCAGTACTACTGATCAAGATCAGATCAAGCTAGTCGGGTCCTAAAGGACATAAGCTGCTGGGTCTGCAGCAGGTGGTGAGGGAACCAACAAGAGGGAAAAACATACTTGACCTCATCCTTACCAATCTGCCAGCTGCAGTTGCATCTGCCCATGACAGTATTAGTAACAGTAACCATTGCACTGTCCTTGTGGAGACGAAGTCCCACCTTCACATTGAGAAGAACTTCCATCGTTTTGTGTGGCACTATCACTGTGCTAAATGGGATAGACTTCACACAGATCTAGCAACTCACGACTGGGCACCCATGAGGCGCTGTGGGCCATCAACAGCAGCAAAACTGTACTCCAGCACAATATGTAACCTCATGGCCTGGCATATCTCCCACTCAACCATTACCATCAAGCCAGGGGATCAACCCTGGTTCAAATGGAGAGTGCAGGAGGGCATGCCAGGAGCAGCATCAGGCATATCTGAAGATGAGGCATCAACCTGGTGAAGTCACCAAACAGGACGACTCGCACCCAAATGGCAAATGCAGCAAGTGATGGAGAGCAAAGCGATCCCACAACCAAAGGATCAGATCTAAGCTCTGCAGTCCTGCCACATCCATCGTGAATAGTGGTGGACAATTAAACAACTCACTGGAGGAGGAGGCTCCACAAATATCCCCATCAATGAATGAAGAGCCCAGCACATCAGTGCAAAAGATCAGGGTGAAGCATTCACAGCAATCTTCAGCCAGAAGTGCTGAGTAGATGATCCATTTTGGCCTCCTTCAGCGATCCCCAACATTACAGATACCAGTCTTCAGTCAATTCGATTCACTCCACGTGATAAAGAAAAAGTTGGAGACACTAGATATGGCAAAAGCTACAGGCCCTGACAACATTTCAGCAATAGTACTGAAGACTGGTGCTCCAGAACTTGCCGCTCCCCTAGCCAAGCTGTTCCAGTACAGTTATAACACTGGTAACTACCCGGCAATGTGGGAAATTGCCCAAGTATGTCCTGTACACAAGAGCAGGACAAATCCAACACAGCCAACTACCACCCCATCAGTCTATTCTCGATCATCAGTAACGTGATTGAAGGCGTCATCATCCGTGCTATCAAGCAGCACCTGCACAGCAATAACCTGCTCAGTGATGCCCAGTTTGGATTCCGCCAGGGCCACTCAGCTCCTGATCTCATTACAGCCTTGGTTCAAACATGGAAAAAATAGCTGAATTTCAGAGGTGAGGCAAGAGTGAAAGCCCTTGACATCAGGGCTGCATTCGACCGAGTGTGACATCAAGGAGCCCTAGCAAAACTGGAATCAATAGGTATCGGGGCAAGCTCTCTGGTGGTTGCAGTCATACCTGACACATAGGAAGATGTTGAGGTTGTTGGGGTTGGTTGGCTCGCCAAGCTGGTTTCTTGTTTCGCAGACGTTTCGTTACCATGCTTGGTAACATCCTCGGTGCAGCCTCCAATGAAGTGTTGGTATGTTTTCCTGCCTGGTTTTTAAACTCTGGCTTTCAATCTCAATCCACATGGACAAGGAAAACTACCATTTCGATGGGACAACACCAAGATCCTGGGACAGGCTAGGCAGAGACAGGCACGAGAATTCCTAGAAGCATGGCACTCCACAAAGCATGTTATTAATAAAAACATTGAACTCGACCCCATATACATTCCACTACGAAGGAAAACCGGAAGTGAAGCAATCCATCTCAACGGACCCTAGAGTTTAAAAACCAGGCGGGAATGCCTGGTACCAGCATGGTAACGAAACGTCTGCGAAACAAGAAACCAGCTCGGCGAGCCAACCAACCTCAACCACCTCAACACCCACAACCCGAGCTACAAATCTACTCCAAAACCTTAGACATAGGAAGATGGTCGTGGTTGTTGGAGGTCAATTAGCTCAGCTCCAGGGCATCTCTGCAAGAGTTCCTCAGGGTAGTGTCCTCGGCCCAACCATCTTCAGCTGCTTCATCAACGACCTTCCCTCCATAAGGTCAGAAGTGGGGATGTTCACCGGTGTTTGCACAATGTTCAGCACCATTCGTGACTCCTCAAATACTGATGCAGTCCATGTTCAAATGCATCAAGATCTGGGCAATATCCAGGTTCACACTGACAAGTGGCAAGTGATATTCACGCCACACAAATACCAGACAATCTAACCACCGCCCCTTGACACTCAATGGTGTTACCATCACTGATCCCCCACTATCAACATCCTGAGGGGGTTATCATTGACCAGAAACTCAACTGGACTCACCACAAACACTGTGGCTACAAGAGCAGGTCAGAAGCTACGGCGAGTAACTCACCTCCTGACTCCTCAAAGCCTGTCCACCATCTACAAGGCATAAGTCAGGAGTGTGATGGAACACTCCCCACTTGCCTGGATGAGTGCAGCCCCAACAACACTCAAGAAGCTTGACACCATTGAGGACAAAGTAGCCTGCTTGATTGGCACTACATCCACAAGCATTCACTCCATCCACCACCGAAGCTCAGTAGCAGCAGTGTGTACTACCTACAAGATGCACCGCAGAAATTCACCCAAGATCCTCAGACAGCACCTTCCAAACCCACGACCACTTCCATCCATAAGGACAAGGGCAGCAGACATATGGGAACACCACCATCTCCAGGTTCCCCTCTAAGCCACTCCCCATCCTGACTTGGAAATGTATCGCTGTTCCTTCACTGTTGCTGGGTCAAAATCCTGGAATTCCCACCCTAATGGCATTGAGGGTCAACTTACAGCAGGTGGACTGCAGCAGTTCAAGAAGGCAGCTCACCACCACCACCTTTTCAAGGGCAACGAGGAATGGGCAAGAAATGTTGACAAGCCAGCGATGCCCACATCCCACAAAATGAATAAAAAACGTTTTAACATTTTAAAGTTTCCTTAAAGATTGATATCATGCTCTGTTAAAATACTCATAGCTGCAACCTCATTTTGAAATCCAAGATTTTAAACAATGGGCAATAAAAAATTTCAGCTTTGAATCATCACCTTAAGCACATTTGGTTAGCTATTTGTTTAAAAAGCAAACGTCTTTTCCTTAGTTTACCAATCTCATGTTCAGAGCATACAAGCAAGTTAAGTATTTATGGAATTGTGAAACGGAGGGAAAAAAAAAGTAAAAATGACTCATAACTAACTGGAAAAAGAACAGCAAAGTCACAACATCCACCACCACAGCACATTTTAAAAAATTGCAAGAAGGAAGAGATACGCTCTGAACTGAGAGCAGCCATAAATTACTGGACACGCTGCATCTTAGTTGTCGAACTCCTCACAAACGTCAAGGCATTGCTGGACTTCTGGATTTGTACAGTAAAAACAAATGAATATTTCAGCCATTTAGGGCGGGAATTTCATTTTATAACTTGCTATTGATGCATGTTTTACGGTCTTAACATATCAAAACTAGAAATGGAACTCAAAACTGCGACGTCTCATCTTTGCTAGGTACCAAACTGCTCCAAGATGATGTTTAAAAACTGTTTTGTTTGCATATAACTGAACGCTTATTCAGACTTCCTTCTCTGGACTTGGTCAGTTTGTCTCTTTATCCTTAGATCTAATGGTCCACCTTGTCAACGAAAATTAATGTTCAAGATATCAGAAACCCCTTGCCGACTATTGCCCCAGGGGTTATCAAATCACACATCCAGCAATGTCTACTGCAAAAATATTACCTGGAACAGAGGTTAAAAAACAATTCACAACATTCACGCGAGATGCACTCCTCCGGCAATTTTTTTAATCAACACAGAGTATGGAACAAGCTGTTGTAGTACCAAAGTGCGATTTTTGGAGATCCCAGTAGCTGTAATGTTTTGCGGTGTATTGTCGCTCCAAGCCCGAGTGTCATCCTGCCATAAGTCTCTGTAAGCACTGATCTCAGTTGGGGTCTTATTTGGTGTGTTGTCTATGGAAACTATTAAAAAAACATGCAAGATCATAAGTAATCCAAATTTTTCATTTATTATTCTATATATTTACACATTCATTCACTAATTTTAAAACAGATAGAGTTTTTATTCCATTTTGTAAAAGCTGCAAGGGTATCTAACGGTTAAAGAGGGATAACTTGAATTATTTTTAAATGCATTACTCAAGATCAGCTCCTGATAACAATTTTAAAAGCTTGATTTGAAAACACCCATTCTTAAAAATAATTAATACTAAAATATTTAAACCACCAATTTTTTGAAACAATTAAGCAATCTAAGCAGCAATGTGGAGCACATCATTTTAATAAGACCATAAAGCATAGCAGAAGTAGATTGTGACCATTGAGCTGCCTTCCCAGTCTTTCCCTCCATCCATAACATTCGTGTCTTTTATCCTGTATGTGTCTGCATACGGAAGATTTATTAGACTTGTATATCGAAGTTTCATAATTGTTTATCTGTAGTGAGAATCTATTTTTTGTAATAAATAGTAATTTTCTATGAACGGCCCAGGCTCTCTGTAAATCTCGGTCTAAATTGGGGAATTCTGCTACAAAACCACCAACTCCTACAGTAACATTGTCTACACATCCTCACTTCCTGCTTACTGTAAGGACTCCTTTCCATTCTCCTTGTTTCTCCTTCTCCGACTATTCTGGTGATGCCACCTTCCACAAGGGGCCTCAAATGCCCATTTTTTTCCTCAACTGAGGATTCCCTGGCATCACAGTTAACAGGACCTTCAGTAGTGTCTGACCCATTTCCCGCACTTCTGCCAACACTCTTCTCTTCCCTCCCACAACATCCCCCGGGGAGGGGGGGGGGGGGGGCGGTTTTCTTTTTCCCCCCCCCAAGCATCTGCATCCAAGGATCATAAGCTGGCATTTCACCCACATGCAGCAGGATGCCACGACCAGGTGTATTCCCTTACCCTCCCTTGTCAGCATTTTGGAGGGACTCTCCCCTCCAGGACACCCTGGTGCACTCCTCTGTCACTCCCAATACCTCAACTCCCAACATCTCCCCACAGCACCTTCCCATGTAATCACGGATGGTGCAACACTTGCCCTTCTACCTCTTCACTCCTCGCTTTTCAAGGTTCCAGACACACCTTCCAGTAGAGGCAGCAATTTATCTGCACTTCATTTAATCTAGTCTACTGTATTCATTTTTCACAATGTAGTCTCCTCGGCAATGGGGAGAGGAAATGAAAACTGGTGGTTACCCCTTTATAGAACACCTACGTCTGTCCCTCAAAATAGCTGAGCTTCTAGTTGCCTGCCACTTCAGCACACCACTGTGTTTCCTAGCCAACATTTCTGCCTTTGGCCTGCTTCAGTGTTCTAGTGAAGCTCAGCACAAGATACAAGAACAGCATCTCATTTTCTACTTAAGGACCTTGCAGCCTTCAGGACTCAATATTGAGTTCAATAATTTTAGAGCCAGAACACCACCTTCCATGACCTTGACCCATCCCCACACCCCAGGCCCTGCCATGACGTGGGCTGTTTTCAGCACAATCAACTCATTTCATCTACCCATTGTCCCAATCATCAGCTTCTGTTCTTCCCCAGCTTGCTATGAACCATCCCTTGCCTGCCTAACTTTCTTTCCCTCTCTCTGGGCTCCATTGTCAACTACCAGTTCATCACCACCACCACCACCACCACTCCACCACCCACAGTCAAGGCATGGGCGTCTTTGCACTGTGCTGGGCTCCCTCATTAATAATAATTCCCGTTAGTTGTTTAATTGTTCACCATCATTCATGACTGGATGCGGCAGAAATGCAGGGCTTAGATCCGATGTGTACTGCATACAGTTTTGGTCTTCTTACTTGAGAAAGGATGTACTGGCACTGGAAGGGGTGCAGAGGAGATACACTAGGTTGATTCCAGACTTGACGGGGTTGGCTTATAAGGTGCGATTGAGTAGACTGGGACTATACTCATGGGAATTTAGAAGAATGCAGGGGCACCTTATAGAAACATATAAAATTAATAAGGGAATAGACAAGGTAGAAGCAGGGAGGTTGTTTCTACTGGCAGGTGAAACTAGAACTAGAGTGCATAGCCTCAAAATAAGGGGGAGCATATTTGGGACTGAGTTGAGGGGGAATTCTTTACCAAAAAGTTGGTGAATCTGTGGAATTCCTTGTCCAGTGAAGCATTTAAAACTACTTCATTGAATGTTTTTAAGGCAAAGATAGATAGATTTTTGAACAGTAAAGGAATTAAGGGTTATGGTGAGTAGGCAGATAAATGGAGCCGAGTCCATGAAAAGATCAGCCAGGATCCTACTGAATGGCACAGCAGGCTTGCAGGGCCAGATGGCCTAATCCTGCTCCTATTTCTTAAGATTCATTGGTTATGGAATCATTTAGTTTGGTGCACTGCGACAGGTAGACTGGTGAGGACAAGGTCAAGTTGTTTCATTACTTTGGTTCTCATAATACCTCCTGCAGGATCAGTCTCCCAAATAATGTCATTTAGATCACGGCCAGCTCAGTCAGTAGTGGTGCTACCAAATTTTGCTGGTAATGAAATTGAAGCACCCCACCCTGACTACATTGTGCCCTTTCCGCCCTCAGTGCTTCCGTCAAGGATACGTTCAACACAAAAGGGTACTGATTCATCAGTCAAGTAAAAAGTTGGAAATTTCTTTGCCCATGTTTGCTTTGTTACAATCAGATTTCATGGGTCCAGAATTAACATTAAGAGCTCCATTACTGACCATATCCTATGCCCTACTAGTGGGACAAACATACATAAGGATGGTGACGGTGGTGTCTGGGACATTGTGTTTAAGGTAGAATTCTAAGTCAAAGTCAGGCTGCTGCTCGACTAATCTGCAGGACAGATTTCCCATTTTTGGCTCAAGCCCCCAGATATTGGTACGGGCAACTGTGCAAGGTCGACAAACTCGTGCTTTTTGTTGTCATTTCTGGTAGCTAGGTCAATGTCAGTTGGTCAGTCCAGTTTCGTTCCTTTTTTTAAGACTTTGCAGCAGTTTGATACAATTAAGGGGCTTGCTGGGCCATTTCAGATGGTACTGAAGAGTCAACCACATTGTTCTTGGTCTGGAGTCACTGGTTTCATGTCCATACACTCAAGTTCAGGACCACTGTGCTGCCATAACTTCAATTCAAAACACTAACTTATTCTTAGAGTTGCCAAAATTCATTACAGAGGAAAACCAACCTGGGACATCAACATACATTGTGCCAAGCTACTTATAGTCACTATGCTATGGGCAGCATTACATGTATGGGAATATCACATGATCTGCTTTTATTCCCACATTTAGTCTTATGGTTCAGGTCCGTTTAAATTTGTTCCAACTTTTGGATATTTTCCTGTCCATTATCCAATAGCTAATAACTTGCACATCTGCAAGCAATCACTCTCTAAAATACACTTCAGGAGAACTCCCCCCACCAAATACACTTTATAAAATGTTGTATGGTGTGAAATGCAACATGACCGCAAAAGAAGCAAAGCAGTTTACATACTCACACTCATAACCTGTATCCAATTGAAAGGCATGGATCATTTTCATAATACCCTCTGTAAGTTGTTTAAAGCGTGTGCTTTCCTGCAGACTTCTAAAATGTAGAGCAAAAGTAGATATGTGTTTAAATGGTAGGTATAAACTAAGCATTACCCATCTCCATCAAATCACAATCAGTGCTCTTTTTACAATCAAATGAAGAGGGGTCAAATGGCTTCCCTCTTTTCTCATACATTGTTGACTGCAAAGGATCATGCTTTGAAAATAATTTCTTGCCAACAGTGGATACTTCAGTTTATCACAAAAACCAAAAATTGCACAAGTTTTATTTGTTATGCTCAAGAAAGAGTTCAGCTTCATTATACTTAGACCAATCTAAGTAACATAATCAAATATGCTCTGCCATTCCCATACACATTTGAAGTTCACACATTCAAATAGATTTCTGTGGGGAAGGGCAACTTGGTCAAATTATAGTCCGTGAAAAGTAAAATGAACATACAGTTTTTAGTTTTTTGACTCAACTGGCTTCAGGCTGAATTTGGCAGTCTTGTGACTTTGCTTCCAATTGAAAAGGATCAGATGACTGATCTGGCTGTTACTATGGAAACAGAAGAGTCAAGCGACTTTTACCACAAAGTCTCTGCCTTTAGTACCGCATAATGATCATAGTCAGCAAACAAAGAATTTGAAGGTTTCAGGTGGATTCAAAGAAAGTGAGGAAAAGACGGACCCTAGTCAAGGTTTTCTCTTTTCACTGTGTGATCTGAATATCCTCTTGTCACAGAGATGCAGCAGCTTAAAACACACAAAAGATTGGATTATCCCATGAACATCATCCAGTCATTCAAACATGGTTAACATTGGTACATGCCCCCTTGCAACTTTGACCAGTTCACTTGTGGGAATACTCATCTGAGATAGGCCCTTACTGTTCAAGTGATTAGGCTTAACAGCCTGATTAACCCAGCAGATTGCGTGGATGCCTAACTAAAATGTACAGGATGTGTGGCTCATGATATTCCCCAAGACACTGTCCTTGATGAATCTTTGCAGACATGCTGTTCTTATTTTACTGGAATGGAATGTAACTGTACAGTGATGCAAACTGGTGTGGCCACCTTTAGCTCCAAGCTTAAGTCACCTTTAGTGTCAGAATTTTTAAAAAGTCGGTTTTTTAACAAAGTCAATTCATGTTTCCAGCCAGTGGATGCCAAATCATGATCTGTCATTATTCATAATCATGACATGACACATTGCCCAGCAGAAGCAAGTAAAAAAAACACACCTGACAACACACCGTTACATCAAGTACAGCACTGCCTTCATTACAACTCGCTGATCAACTAAAACACACAATTCTGTGACCCTTCAAGAGTTTTCTTTAATCTTATTTTGTATTTTGAGAAGTAAATGAATGCTATGAATTTACATAATAGCCCAACAAAATTGCTAGCAATGTGCATAACCGAATCACTCCAAAACTGGTGTATCTCCACAATGCAACATACAGATAGCTGAATTTAAACAGTTTGTTTTTGCTAATCTTCCATAAAAATGAATGTTGCTAGTAAACTTAGCATTTATTGCCCATCCCCAATTATGCTTGAGAAGGTGAATGAGAGTCACCTTCTTGAACAAACGTAATCCACAAGCTTAATATTTGTTCTGGACAAGTTCTGAAGAAGGCTCACTGGACCTGAAACGTTAACTCCGATTTCTCTTCGCACATGCTGCTGGACCTGCTGAGATTTTCCAGCAATTTCTGTTTTTGTTAATGCATTTGTTACCTGTCTAAAGAGTGCCCAGTCCAGATACAGCACTGATTAAAGCATACAAATGTTGCCTTACTGGCTATTTGCCCCCATTATATATTACATTTCTGAATAAACATTGAAATTCACTTTCAACCCCCTAACTTTGGAAACCCAAATTTTGATACAAACACCCTTGAATAAGGTGCAGCTGCAGCATCTGAAATCTTAGTTCACTGAATATAAACTCAATTCCTGAAAACACACATACTGTTGTGGGTGGATGGGGAGTGGAAGGTGGGGAGTGGGGAGTAACTATAGATACACATTTCCAAATCAGTTGCAGATGGTTATCAATCTGAAACTGTATTTGCATGTTTTACTAAAAATGTAAGCTGTTGTTGTTGTTGTTAGTAAAAAAGTACCAATTAAATGAAAAACCAAACAGGAAAACCAAGAGAACGATAATGATTGAACCTTGTGTGCAGCAGTGTCCTTGGAGGATATTGAATGAGCCAAGATGAATGCAAACATGGAGCAGACAACTGTACAACCAAGACAAGTTTAATTGGAGTATAATTCTGACTGGCACAATCCAATAAATACCGATGCACGAGATCTCGTGAAGATCATTTTGTTTTTGGTCTGGACAGCACGCTCTTCAAAATGGTACATGAACATCAACTAAAACAATACATTAGTTACCTTGGTACCAACCTACCTCTTGGTAATTACGTTCTTACAAAGTGGGCACGGTATTGTATTTTTCGTCCCAAAAAGCTTGAATATACAGAACCTTCACAAAAGACGTAAGAGAAATATTTTTAAAACTCAACTGGACAAAAGGTAACAATGTTTTATTAACTAGCATGGATCATTGCACCATTAGTAAATTGTCAATGGAGAACACACATGATGTACAGATAGTCCCAAATTCTGATTCACTGTCAGTTGTCTCCACTGGTACTGTGAGCAATCAAAAATTAAGATGAAAACTTGTAAATGCTGGTATGTCCGGTACCACTGCTCACAAGCGTGCGTGCGTGTGTGTGTGTATAGTGGGTGGTGGAATTAACTATAGATACATGTTACCAAAATCAGTTGGAGACAAGGTGCAACTTGGAAGAACTGGTACCTTAATAAGATGTTATCTTTCCTAAGTACTATAGAACAGTTATGGAACTGGCAGGCATAGCATAAAGCTACCCTGCAGATAATTTGTTTACTTTCTCTCTGAAGAAAATAATAAACAGTAATGTGAAAAAACCTGACTCAAACTTCCAATCTGACATCCCTGACAAGTGCATCCTGTACTCCCCTAAGTGTGTGGCAAGAGCAAATAAATGACCTGCAGCATGAAAAAACTAAAGTGACGTGTATGGGAGAGGTACAAGGTCGGTGTCCTAACCACCTGGGTATCTGTCGTATATTCATTGGTTTGAAGTGTCTGATCAAGGAATTGATATTGGGTAAAATACAAGCCCTTTGAAATAAAATATATTAATGGGTGCTTGGGGGCAGAGGCATAACTTGACAGTCAGCTGTTCTTTTCAATGGAAAATCGAAGATGACAAGGGGTACAGTTTCTTAACACTTTGACAGGGCAGCAAAATGCTGCAGCCGTGAATTAGAAAGATCAGCTTTCCATCTGTATGTCCTTTGGTTTAAAAAGCTGCTCTCAATTGTAATGGGTCATATGCTTTTACTTTGTACTTAGCTTATGAATCATATCTAAACTATGGTTTTTACTTTATCATTTATGGGTTCTGAAGCATCTAGTGTGAGAGAGGGATCATGACAAAGTGGTTATGTCATTGAAATAATAATCCAAAACCCCAAGCACATAGATCCAAATTCCACCATGACAGACGGTAAAACTCAAATTCAATAAAAATCTGGAATAAAAAAAACTAGCCTAGTTAATTAGTTTACCATAAGACCATAATGGGTAGCAGAAGAAGTCAGCCATTTGGCTCATTGAGTCCACACACTGCTGTTCAATGAAATCATGGCTGATCTGTAATCGTTAACTCCATTCCTCTGCCACTTAATTCCCTGTAACCTCATTTCCCTTACTGATTAAAAATCAGTCTACCTCATCCTTGACAGCCCTCTGTGGAAAAGAATTCCACAGATTCATCAGCCGCGGACAGAAGAAAATTCTTCCTCATCTCAGTCTTAAATGGGTGACTTCTTACTCTGAGAATATGCCCTTTGTTGCCAGATTTGCCCACAAAGACAAACAAAACTGTGCACCTACCCTTTCAAGGCCCCCAAGAATCTTTTGTGTTTCAATGAGGTCTCAGATCATTCTCATAAATAGCAATGAGTACAAGCCCAACCTACTCAACTTTTTCTAACAAAAAATCCCTCCATACCTAAGATCAACTTTGTTAACCTTCTCTGGATTGCCTCTACAGTTAATATAGCTTTCTTTAAATAAGGGGCTTAGGCTTTCACAGTATTCCAGTTATAGTCTGACTAATGCCTTGGAAAGTTTTAGCTTGGCCTCCTTATTTTTATAGTCTAGTCCCTTTGAAAGAAGTGCCAACAGTCCATTTGCCTTCCCTACTACCAACTGAACTTGAATGCTACGTCCTTGTGATTCATGGACCAGGACCTTCTGAATCTCTCTAGGCTATAGCTTTCTGCAATCTTTCCCCATTTCAATAATATTCAGGTCTGGTATTCTTCCTGCAAAAGTATATAACCTCAGATTTTCCCACATCATTTTCTATTTGCCAAATTTTTGTCCATTTGCCCAACATGTCTACATTCCTCTGTGAACTTCTGCCATTCTCACTACTTGCCTTCCAACCTATTTTTGCATTGTCTGCAAACTTGGCAAATAGTACATTTACTTACATCATCCAAGTCATTAAACATTTTTTGTATATAATAATGGCCCAGCGCTGATCCCTGTGGTATTCCACTAGTTATAGACTCCCATCAGTAAAATGACACCTTTATTCCAACACTGTCTTTCATTGGTTAGCAAATTCATTAACAATTGTTGTAAAAACTCACCTGGTTCACTAAATGTTCACTATGGAAAAAAAAAAAATCAGCCATTTTACCCAGCCTGGCCTACATGTGACTCCAGATCTTAACTGCCCTCATGGTATTCAGGAATAGGCAATAAATGTCACCTAGCGAGAAACACCCATATCCCATATAAACATCAAAAAAAAAGCATCCAAGCCTTAGGCTACAGCCAGCTGTTTTACATGTTACAAAGTGCCACATTGGAGGGGCAAGGTTTTTGCAAATTCCAATAATTTAGCACTTTTGAAATCAAACATTTAGACTCGTCTTTTTTTTGTCGTTAAGCAGCCGAGTTTATCAACACGTGTTATGGTATGAACTTTTACATTTTAAACAAGGAAATCCTTTATTATTCAGATTTGTATAATACTGCAAAATAAAATTGAAATGACAGGTACTCAATTAAAAGAAAAAACAGCTGCTGGCAATAGATATGTCTGAACTGGAACCTCCGCATTTGCTTTAAGTGAATTGCTCAAATTAAAGGAGGATTAGTCCATAAGCAATTAATTTTACAAGCTATTAGATATCTTTCTACTGTGAAAGCAAATTGTATAAGTTACTGCTATTTATTTGTGTGCTTGTCTGATATTAAACACATGAAAAGATTTGGAAACATTTAGTGCTTTTCACGGTCACAAAATGTTCCAAAGCATTACACAGGTCTTCTGTATTGCTGGAATGTGGTAAATTTGCACACGGCAATGTCCTACAATGCAATTATCAGATTCTGTTTTTTTTTTGTTTTGTTGATGAAGTGATAATTATTGGTTGGATGGCTAGTTTGAGATGCAGACTGACATCAACAGACGTGGGTTCAATTACTGCACTGGCTGAGGTGACCATGAAAGACTCCCCTCATCTGAGGCATGGTGAGCTTCAGGTTAAACTCACCACCAGTCTTTCCTGTCTAATGAGAGAGCAGCCCTATGGTCCTCTGGGACTGTGGCAACTTTAGAACGCCAGGCATAACACCATCTACTCTTCTTCAAGGCCTTAGTTTAATGTCTCACACAAAATACGGGGACAAACACTACCTTAGAGTTGCAGTAGAGCAGCAGCTTTTATTTTTGAGCTAGAGACCTGGAACGCATTTGAGGCAAACTGCTAGGAACTACAGCTGGCTCACTGGCAGTTAACATCTGAAACAAAGTATCAACATCACCCAGACATCTGTAGAAGCAGAACTTACCACGCAGTAATGCCAGAGAACCATTAAGGCTTGTCAACCATTTTAGAAAACTATTGACAGCAACTCTCAGGAATAAATCATCAGAAATAATTTTTAAAAATTGACAGGTAACTTACCGACAGAACCGATGATCACATTTTGTTGAAATTGGTTCTTTCATCAATTCCAAGCTAAAATATAAATTAAAAGGAACAAATTCATGGATGTTACATATAATATAGCAAAGGCCAAACAGCATGTATTTAAAGAATAGTTACAGCACAGAAGGTGGCCATTTGATCCACTGTGTCGGTGCTGGGTCTCTGCAACTCACCTTATCCCACTATACTGGCCTTGCGTGTATTTTCTAATCAACCTGTTCCAGGTTATTAATATACCCCTTTGGAGCAGGTAGGGATGTAAACCCAGGTCTCCTGGCTCAGAGGTAGGGACACAACTGCACCACTAGAGCCAGAAATATTTGACCCTCATAGGGCAAGACCCTTCAAACCAGGATCATTCTTGTAAACCTCCTTTGGACCCCATCCAATGCCAGCACATCATTCCTTAGATACAGAGTCAAAAACTGCTCACATTGTTGGAAATGCGGTTTGACCATAGCCTTATACAGCCTCAGCAGTACATTCCTGTTCTTGTATTCTAGCACTCTTAAAATGAATGTGAACATTGCATTTGCCTTCCTAACTGCCAACTGAACCTATATGTTAACTGTAAAGGAATCCCACATCAGGATTTGCAAATCCCTTTGTGTTTTAGCTTTTAACAGTCTTTTCCCATTTAGAAAGTAGCTCATGCCTCTACCGAACCAAAAAAATGAATAACCTCACACTTTAACATATTGTATTCTATCTGCCACTTCTTTGCCCACTCTCTGGCCTGTCCAAGTCCCTCTACAGCCTTCCAACTTGCTGAACCCTACTTGTCCCTCCACCTATCCTTGTGTCATCTGTAAACTTAGCAACAATGCCCTCAGTTCCTTTGTCCAGATCGTTAACATTGAATATGGATAGTTGGGGTCCCAATACAGACACTGCAGGGTTCCACGAGTCACCGGCTGCCAACCTGAAAAAGGATTCCCACATCTGCCTGTCAGTCAATCCTCTACCCATGCCAGTATCTTGCTCCTAACACCTAGGACTCTTGCTTTATTTAGCAGCCTTCTGTGTGGCATCTTGTCAAAGGCCTTCTTGATATTCAAACAGATCATGTCCACTGGCTCTCCTTGTCTAACTTGCTCATTACTTCCTCAAAGAATTCTAACCGACATGTCAGGCATGACCTGCCCTTGACAAAACTGCACTGATTCAACTCTATTTTCCAACGCACTTCCAAGTGCTCTGCAATCTCATCCTTAATAATAGGCTCTAAAATTTTACTAACTACTGGGATAAAGCTAAGTGGCCTATAGTCTCCTGTTTTCTGCCTCCCTGCCTTCTTAAACAGGAGTGTTACATTAGTCATTTTCCTGTCCTCTGGGACCCTCCCTGACTCAGTGATTCCTCAAATATCACCAATGCTTCTATAATCTCACTTATCTTTGTCAGAATTCTGAGGCTTTGTCATCCACCTTCAGACCTTTCAGCTTCCCCAGCACCTTCTCCTTAGCGATAGGCACCACATTCACTTCTGCCCCCGACTCTCGAAGTTCTGGTATGATGCTGCTGCCTTCCACTGTGAAAACTGATGTATGTACCTATTCAGTTCCTCCACCATTTCTTTGCTCCCCATACTTTTTCAACCTCATTTTCCAGCAGTCCAATATCCAATCTTGCCTCCCTCTTACCTTTTATATATCCAAAATACTCTTGCAATCTTTTTTTACATTACTAACTAACTTATCCTCATATTTATTTTTTCCTCCCTTACTGCCTTTATCACTATCCTTTGCTGGTTTTTAATGGCTTCCCTACCTCTGGTTTCCAAGTAATTTTCACCACATTGTCTGCTTTTGTGCTGTCCCTGACTTCTCGTCAGCCACGGTTGTCTTGTCCTCCCCTTAGTATGTTTCTTCTACCTTGGGATGAATTTTTGCCGTGCCTCTCGAATTACTCCCAGAAACCCCTGCCATTGCTGCTCTACCGTCTTCCCTGCTAGGCTCCCCTTCTAATCAACTGTGGCCAGCTCATCCTTCATGTCCGTGTAGTTACGTTTACTCAATTATAATAGCATTACATCTGATTCCAGCTTCTACCTCTCAAACTACAGGTTGAATTCTATCATATTATGGTCACTGCCCCATACGGATTCTTTCACTTTCATCTCCCTGTTCAAGTTTGCCTCATTACATATCACCAAGTCCAGAAATGCCTGTGGCTCTACCACAAACTACTCCAAGAAATCATTTCGTACACGTTCCACAAATTCCTTGTCTCGAGATTCCCTACCACCCTGATTTAACCCAGTCCACCTGCATATTGAAGGCCCTATGATTATTGTAATATTTTACATGCCTTTTCTATCTCTTGGTTTATTTTCTTCTCCTCATCCTGACTACTGCTCAGAGGCCTGTACACAATTTCAAATCAGAGTCTTTTATCTTTTGCAGCTCCTCAACCCTGCCCCACACGGATTCTAACCCTTCTGATTCCATGTTACTTCGTGCTATTTAATTTAATTTCTTACTAAGAAGGCAATCACACCTCCTCTGCCCAGCTGCCTGTCCTTTAGATAGGTCGTGTATCTTTGGATATTTAGCTCCCAGCTCTTATCCCCTTGTAGCCGTGCCTGTATACCCACAACATTATATCTTCCAATTTCAAGCTGCGCTGTAAGCTCATTTACCTTGTTTTTGTGGACTGTGTGCATTCAAGCACAACACCCTCGGTCCATTGTTGATTACCCCCCTTTTCGTGCTTGACCTCATATCTGCTGTGCCTGTTAGGTCCCTGATCTTTTCCATACTTTGCGCTATTACTGGTTCTGGAAAACCTTACTAACCCCTGTTGAGCCCTCCCCTCCTTTAACTTTTACCATAACACGCTAGGGCTCTGGTCCCAGCATGACTCAGGTGGAGCCTGTCTCATCAGGACAGCTGCCTCCTTTCCCAGTACTGGTGTCAATGTCCCGTGAATTTGAACCGATTTCTCCCATACCAACCTCTAAGCCATGCATGTACCTCTTTAATCCTGTTCACCAAGTGCCAATTTGCTCGAGTCTCGTAGAAATCTGGAGATTATGACCTTTTCGGTTCTGCTTTTAAATTTAGCTCCTACCTGCTCATATTCCCTCAACCAAACCTCCTTCCTCTTTCTATCTATATTGTTAATACCTATGAGGGCCATAACAACTGGATCTTCTCCACCACTCCAAGTTCCTCTACAGTCCAGATGAGATATACCAAACCCAGGCACCATGCAGCAAGACAATCTACAGGACTCTTGATCCTGGCCACAGAGAATAGGGTTGTTTCCCCTGACTACACTATCCCAATTACAAATACATTCCTCTTTTCTCCCCATGCTTTAATGGCTCCCCGTAACAGTGCCATGGTCTGTTTGCTGATCCTCCCTACAGACCCTCATCCACACAAGAATTTCAAACCTGTTAGACAAGCTCAAGGGCTGAGGCTCCTTCAGCACTACCTCTTGGATCCCTCTACCTGCCTTGCTCATAGGCACACCCTTCTATCCCTAACCACTGAGCAAATGAAGTAGTTAATCTAACTGGCGTGCTTGCCTCCTGAAACACAGCATTCATGTAAATCTATCCCTACCAAATGTGTTGCACTGTTCGAAGCTCAGACTCCAGCTCATCAACTCTGAAACGGAGTTCCTCAAGAAACCAACACTTACTACAGATTTGGTCACTATGAACCACAGTGAGATCCACCAGCTCCCACATCATGTAGATACAACACATTGCCTGGCCCTGCATCTCTATTTTATTTATTCATTTCTGAAGAAGGGTCCAGACCCAAAACATCAACTTTCCTGCTCCTCTGATGCTGCTTGGCCTGCTGTGTTCATCCAGCTCTACACCTTGTTATCTCTATTTTATTTACTTTGTTTTTAATTTGATTTCTAAAATGTCCTACAGGTCTTTTAGTTTGTAACTTGTAAATATTTTCCCTATTTACCTTCAATAGGAGGGTAACCTATACAAGATAGTCCAATTAGTAGCTATGACCTCTGATTTCACTCTTTTGTACTGGACCCTAATCCTGGGCTTCAATTTCTCTGTTTAAAAAGGCCTTACAAATTATGAGCCAAAGAAAGCAAGCGAAACGCACCTCTTCTCCTCTGCACTGAATACCCACACTGCCAAATTCCCTGAATTATATACTCACTCAGGCAACATCTCACACTGGATGTGATCTCTTGTTCCTGACTGTGCACCTTCAACAGGCCCTCTTTTAAGTAGAGTTGAGATGACTCACTGGAGTTAAACTTCAACAGTAATCAACACCTATCAAGATCCTATTCAGGCTTCAGGTAATTGTCAGATAACTGTCCCTCAGTCAGCTATCTTATCACTAGACTACTGAATATCAAAAAGAAATAAAGATTTACCAGTTCTATTCCAACAATGCCTCCAAATTGCCCGAATTATATACTCACTCAGGCTGCGTCTCTGGATATGATTTCTCATTCCATGTGAAGCTTACTGATCCAAACACGCTATTGTAATAGCTGCAATTATAAAATTGACATTTTCCTAATTTCTCTCTTTCCAGAGAGATGTGGTGGGACTTGAACCCAAGTGGCCTGGTTCAGAGGTAGGGACACTATCACTGTGCTGCAACGGCCCAAAACATATTGACATAAACACAGAGCTCTTATGAAAGTGCCAAGAATTAAGTTTCAATTGGAAAACAATAGCACTGGCTGGGATAGTGAACTGAACCAAAGACCTTGGCGTTATTGGAACCACACTCTAAACAGGAGCTAACCACCCACCAACTTGTGTTTTTAAATATTTTGCACCTCTGGCGCAGGTGGAACCTGAACCTGGGACCGCTAGCTCAGGGGTGTGGATCCTAACACAATAATTCTGGACCCAGGCCTTCCAGATACTTTCAAATTAACCCGTTCAGAAATGTTCTTACATACCTCTGGAACAGGTGGGACGTGAACCCATGTGTCCTGCCTCAGCACTCAGGACACTTGTCACTGTGCCAGCCTATAAAATGATGTCTTTCTTAAATCAGATTACAGTAAAAAAGAAATGTATTGCCTATAGGAAATACTATACTAATGTTCAAATGAGTCAGTTTAAAAACTACATCTCAATTCATATATTCTGGAACTTCAGAAATAGACAAAAAGTGTGACTCACCATATTGGACACTCCAAATTTTTCAGCATTAATGAGAGAACCTTGTGTACGTGCTCAATCTCTGATTTGCACAAAGACATTTCTGTATAGTTTCATTTGATGTCCTCTGCAAATAAATTTGCACTTTGTTAGAGAACCATTTGATTTTGGTCTTACTCTCCATTTCAATCTGATGCAGTGGCATAGTGCTGACGTCACTGGACAGGTAATCCAAAGACTCAGGACAATGCTCTGTAGACTGTGCAGACAAAATCCACTGTGGCATCAGGTGGAATTTGAATGAAATTATCAAAGCAAACCAATCTGAATTCAAAACTTATCTCAGTGATAGTGACCAAGAAACAGTAATCTATCTTTATAAAAACCCACCTGATTCACAAATGCCCTTTGTAGGGAAGGAAACTGGCTATTCTAATTTGGGTTGTTTCCTAATTCGATTCCAGAGCTGCAGCAGCGTGGTTGATAGGTTAAGTAAGCCATTTGATTCAACAGCAATTAGGGACGGGCAACAAATGCTGGTCCTGTCAGCAATATTCCCCTTGCAATGTTTTTCACTGCACGTATCTCCAACGTATCAACACACAGGTTAATGTGCATGGAGATGGCCAGCAGCTACACGGTCACACAACTTAGAGGGACAATTTGTCAGTAATGCTCGCATCCCATGGAAGAATGTGGAGGGAGGTTCATAATAAAATTAATTTTGGTTCGAAGCTTGGATTTTCACATGAAGGAATGATGTATTGCTTTAACTTTTTAAAAATTTATGTATGTGATATGGGTGCTGCTGGCTGGGGTCAGTATTACTTTCCATCCCTGGTTGCCATTGGTGACAGTGAGCTGTTTTCTCAAACCATTGCAGTCCATATCAGGAACAGTGATACATTTCCAAGTCAGGATGGTAGGTGACTCAGAGGGAATGTTGAAGATGGTGGAGCATCCAAGTGTCTGCTCTCTTATCCTTCCAGTTGGTCATGGTCATGACTTTGGAAGATGCTGAGCAGCCTTGGTGAATTTCTACAGTGCATCTTGTGAATCCTGCATACTACTGCTACTGAGCATCATTGATAGACGGAGTGAATGTTTGTGGATATGATGCCAATCAAGAGGGATGTTTTGGCCTGGATGGCATCAGACTTGAGTGTTGCTACAACTGCACTCATCCAGGCAAGTGAGAAGCATTTAATTGCACTTCTGGCATATATCTTGCAGATGCTGCACAAGCTTTGAGTTTTTAGGTGGTGAGTTACCTCATTGTGTATGTTAATGAGGAGGGGACATGGTTTTTAGTTTCATTCTGGGTTTGTTCTGAAAGTGGCACTGGGATGACTCAAGATTTGTTTTGTTATCAAGCATTTCAATGAGGTATTAAAATGTGAGGTGAATAGTTCAGTGCATTAGAAAAAAAAAAGAGAAAACCTGCCATTGCTAGCAACAGTAGTCTAGTAACAAAAACAGCCATCCAGAAGAAGCTAGGTTCTGGAAAGTTACATCATCTGGACTGGCATGACAGATGGGAGAGGAGGGTTGTAGAAATGCCTTGTAATAGGGTACAAACTGGATGATGCAGGCTGTTTGTCAGATAAGACATCTTATCTATACCACCTGAACAAAAAACAGCACATTATTTAACTGTGTATTTTCCACTACCACTTTTGTGTAAGGAATGTTTAAGGTTATGTAGGAGGGTATAAAAACAGAAGTTGCTGGAAAAGCTCAGCAGGTCTGGCAGCGTCTGTGAAGAAAAATCAGAGTTAATTTTTTGGGTTCGATGACCCTTCCTCAGAATAGATCTGAAACATTAACTCTGATTTTACTTCACAGATGCTGCCAGACCTGCTGAACTTTTGCAGCAACTTCTGCTTCTGTTGCTGATTTACAGCATCTGACCTTCTTTCTGTTTTTATGCAAGAGGATATCTTTCTTATGTCAACTTCTCAGTGAAAGTGACCAAGTTTCATTTGCTAGTTAACTGATGTAATTTGAGTTGGCACAGATTAAATTAAATTCAATGAAAAACAAAAAGGTATTTGTTTGTAATTTCTTCATTTGGAGGACATGTGAATTTTTGGGTTAAAGCTTCCCCTGTGAGATCCTAGTAATGTAAACAACCAAGTCCAAGGAAAGCACCAAACTGACCATATTATTTTTCAACGACAAAAATCAAAGTTTCAAACTATCTAGCTATTGTTCATACAGATCGAGCACAGCATATTTAGGAGCTTGAAACTCTGGGAGCTATCAACACTTATCTAGTAAAACATTCCGAAGCAGTTTAATTGCAGATGTGTGGCAACTTATACTATCATCGTACAGCCCCCAAATACACTGGCCTCACACCCTGCCTGCCACCCCATTTATCTTCCACTATGCCATTCCATTCAATTATTATCACTGGGCTGTTAATCCAGAGACCCAGGTTCAAATCCTGCTTCAGCAGAATTATAAGTTTTAATTCAATAAAGAAAGAAAAAAAATCTGTAATTAAGAATTTAATGCTGACCATGAGCTAGTTGTCGATTGTCAGAAAAACCCATCTAGCTCACTAACATCCTTCATGGAGGGAAATGGTCATCCTTACCTGGTCTAGTCTAGATGTGACTTCAGACCCACAGCAATATGGTTGACTCTTAACTATCCTCTGGGCAATTAGGAATGGGCAATAAATGCTGGTGTAGCTAGCAACACCCTCATCCTGTGAATGAAAAGAAACTTTCCAAAAGGGTAATGCTGTTTCTACCCACATGTCAATTCCATGACAAACAAAAGCAAGTGTGGCTGTTCGGCGATTAAACTGCACAGCACCCATGTAGCAGAGTTTCATCCATATTTTAAACAAGTTTTTTTTTAATTTCCCACGTGTACTGCTGGCACAAAGACATAGAAAATTCCAATGCAGCATGCTGCAGTGTTCCAAAGCAACTCAGGATCAAGCAAATAAGTTATCTAACTAGATCTCACAAAGCCTTGCTCAAGTCCAATGCTCATCTGATATTTATCTCACCTTTTACCTCAAAAATGTTTGTTTCAGAAATCCTGCAGTCTTTACATTGATGGGAGAGTTTCACATCAGGTTTCTGTCTCTTACCTGTACCCCAGTTTTTCATGCTGTCTGGCTCTGGTAGTTTATCTCAATAACCAATGACGTGCACACCAAGGCCCAATTTTTCCACATTACCCTAGCCTGTTTCTTTTTGCCATAACTGCTGGACTTTTTTGGCTAATTGCTCTCTGCTGACTGCAGAGTTAGAGACAGAAAGTTGATGCATTTTGAAATGACCAACTCAACATCCATTTTATGTGTTATGAAAATTGAAAACAAAATTCCCCCAAGGATGTTGACATTACTGCAGAGATATTATGCACGGGAAACAGAATTTTGAAACAAAAGCTGCCAAAATAATCTTTATGGCGACAACATTCTTTTATATAGCATTTTTCACAGCAGTCGGTCCCAAGGTGCTTCAATCTCAAAAATTGACACGAGAGAAAGCGGTAGGACGAATTATTAGAAGTTTGTTTAAGAACTTCGGTTTTCAACAAGAGATCTCAATGAAGTTTAAAAAAAATAGAGGAGCAATGAGGTTAAGACAGACATTTCCAGCACTTGGGAGTCGGAGTGCTGAAAGTGAGGCTGAAAACAATAAGGTTAAGTGGGAGAAGGACAACATGGCAGCACTGGAGAAACAGATTTGCATTTTCAGTTTGGTGTGAGATGGGGAGGAATGAGCCTTTGAAATTTTGGCATTTTGAGATGGAGAGCCACTACTGACTTGTGAATTATTGTGTCCACACTTGCTGGATGTGCATGACAAAGTTTCAAATTAGTTCACAAAAACAAAGTTGCTGGAAAAGCTCAGCAGGTCTGGCAGCATCTGTGGAGGAGAAAACAGAGTTAACGTTTCGGGTCCAGTGACCCTTCCTCAGAACATTCTGCCAGATGCTGCCAGACCTGCTGAGCTTTTCCAGCAACTTTGTTTTTGTTCCTGATTTACAGCATCTGCAGTTCTTCTGGTTTTTATTCAAATTAGTTTAAACTGGCTGGAAGACAGAAGGGGTGGTCAAAAGAACACCAGAATAGGTGAGCACAGAGTCAGCAAAAACACAGGTGGAGAGTCTAGAAGCAGATGGGCCTGGTGGCTTATGTTATGTGGGTGGACATGGGTGACATGGGAGATGCTAGATGGACGGGGTGGGGCTCGGGAGCACAGCAAGATTATCAAACAAAGGGCTTGAAATAAGACCTCAAGAATTAATGCAATAAAGAAAGAAAAAAAATCTGTAATTAAGAATTTAATGCTGACCATGAGCTCATTGTCAATTGTCAGAAAAACCCATCTAGCTTAAGAGGAGGATCTCATTGGCCATTGGTGAAGCATGCTTCCGTACTAGCAATGCGCCTTTGCTGATCTTATAGGGGCTGACTGATACAGAGCACACTCACCACCCTGATTCTAAACCACAAAGGACTGCAAGCTGCCTTGGGCAACAGCGTGTGCCTGTGCACGAGAGTCACTGTATGCAGCAGGGCCTCATCTCCAATCAGGTCTGGCATCCCTGCCAAATTTTTGATCTGCCAATATCACAGTTTTCCGTGTGCAACAGCCACCCCACGTTAAAAGAACTCAAACATCTTCCACTCGTCAAAATGAAGTCTGGGGCCCAGAACAATCAATTAATCATGGACAAGCCCAGTAGCAACAGATCTGAATATCACATTGTTATCACAGCCCAGAAGCTCTGGTGCAATGACATTAGTTGGCAGGAGGTGATCAGTTCAAAACAAAACAAGGTGTCTTTTGGAAGGCTAAATCTGAGAAATGTGATGGTTTTCAATTGCAAAACCAAACTGCATCACCTCAGTGAGCCCCTTGGGATAAAAGAATGCCTCGTGACCCTTTGGCTCATTCTCACTTAGAGTGCAGTGCATAGGGCCACAAGCTGAAGAACAATAATCAAGGCCAACGTAGCATTCTACTCCAGCCTCAGTCTCGCCCTGCGTCTCAAAGAGAGAGATGATGATTCTCCTCAAATTCAGTGCCGCATTTGGGAGGAATAGACGTTATGATCTGAGTGGATGATTTTGCTGGGCAAGTCAAATTCCAGA